TAGAACCACAGCCATCGGACCTGTTTCCTTTTCGGTCCAATCCATATTTTAGAAATCCAATCACACATACAGTATTGGATTTTCTCTGCAATTACACAGTACCAAGACATAGAAAAGCAAATGTTCAGAGTTATTATGTGAGCCAGTGTGTGTGCAGGGGCAGGTTATCATAGTGATGGCCGCCCTCGAGCCAATACTTGCGTCTGTGTCTGTGTGAGAATGTGGGTTTGAGGGGACTTAGGGATCTTAAATTGATGTGTGTTTTCCATAGGATCCAGAAGCTTCCACGTCTGCTCGTAGCCACGTCTGACGCCACACTGTACATCTACACTTTTGACCCAGCACTGGGGGGCAAGTGCCACCTGTCCCACACACATCAGTGAGTCTCCTCCTCTCTGTGTCCCTGCCTCCTCTGTGTTTAGATCCCCCAGTCTTCACCGACCTGAGAACTGGACTAATGTGATTGTACTTCCTGGTTTTTTTGTGTTCGTTGGCGACTGGTCTTACCATGGAAATAACTAATTTCAGCCACCTCTGGTCCTCCCGGGTCTGTTGATCTGATAGGCACTCTCAGTCTGCGTGTGTATCCCTTTCTATAGACTTGTGGGAGCCCAACTCCAGGACCAAAGTGAAGGGACCCTGTCAGTGGCATCAGATTCCTCAGGACCACTGACCCCTGTGCCCTCGTATGCTGCCACAGCTGCCTTACCCCCGGCTCCAGGCCTGACCGCTGCTGTGCTCACAGGTAGTTTGCCCACACACGTCCCCAGTACTTGCCTGGTCTTACCACACCATAGTACAAATTTAATTTTGTACTAAGGTCTGGATTTGCTCCTCGGAGCTCCGTTAACAGGTGGGAGGGGTTAACTCGTTTTGCAGATTGAAATGATTGGATCTGAGTCATAGACTGTAAAAAATAACGGACGTAGTCACGTCTATCTCTGACATTCAAACTAATGGGCCAAAAATAGTGCTCTACTGGAGATATCCAAAATGGCCACGAGTGGTCCCGCCCACAAGAAAATTGTGAAAAAACGCATCTGCGCATGCGTCAGCCGGTGCAGCTCCATTCATTTGAACGAGAGACTTCAAAAATTCACAGCAAGTAAACTAGACTGGTCCAAAAAAATCCACCCCCCTCAGCATTGACACACATGTGGAACGGAGCTTTGGGCCAAGAGCCAACTTTTGGACCATCCTGTAAAGAAGTTTTTGAGAGGTCTGCCAATGCTATGTGTTAGCATTGGCTAATTCGGGCGTTCTGCTCTCCCAAAATTCCATCCGATGGGCGGGGGAGCGACTGAATTTTGCGTTGCATTATGGGTAACACTTGCCTTCGTAACTTCCGGTTCTCTCTGCCCGGCGCATTTTCTCTAAATGGTTGAGTGTTTTCGTCATTTTCTGTATGCAAATACATTCCCGTCTCTAACTAGTGGCATATCGCGCAAATCATCCGTCCAATTCACATTCTTCCCTCTTAGCTGAACTTCATTCTCATTGTTACCATCTGTCACTCGCACACACAGCCGTTTTCGTTCACTCTGCTCGCTGTCATCTTCTTCTAAATCTTCATAAACACCATCCGCTCGTTGAACTAGCAACAACAATTCCTCCTTTCGTTTTCCCACACTGCAAATACCCTTTCGCTTCAACCTTTCACGCAATTCAGGCACTGTCAATCGTTTGTTGTTTTCGTGAGCCATATTCGCCATTGTATGAAATCAACCGGAAGTGAACTGGGCAACAAACGGTGTCATTTTTTTATCACAGCGCCGCTCAGTGGATGAAATTTTGGGAGAGCAGAACGCCCGAATTCTTATTCTGGGTCCACCCCCACAGGCCCGGGGTGGTATTGCAGCATGTCAGTGCACGTCATTTTGGACACTTTTGAGCTGGGACCCTCCCTCACTGATCTGAGTTTACTGTGACCAGAGGCGTCCCTTGCCATTAGGCAAGGCAGGCAGCTGCCTGGAGCCCCCAAACCGGCAGGGGGCCCCTGAGGGCCAACTGATTTGACACAAACGGTCAACTTGTACAGGCTACAACAGTTACCTGCAGTGACGAGTTGGCAGATAAAACTTTTCGTCTGATGCAAAACTTGCCACGTTCTTCATTAACAGTTAAAAACCCTGCCTGGGGCAGATCATGTATTGAATGTAAGAGTAGTCTAGTGGTGAAGTTGCAGCACTTGCACCGTGATGACCCGAGTTTGAATCCGGGTGAGCGCATTGTTTTGGATTAAACTATTATATTTTATGACAGATTGCTCAAGAACTGTAAAAGCTAAGATTTTGTAGGATTAATACACTTTGATAGGTCCATCCATCCATCCATTTTCTACCCTTTAATCCATTTCTGGGTCAGTGGGGTGTTTATCAGAGATGCCACCCAAGTCTCATAGCACCAGCCCCTCACTGACCCTCTGCAGGTGGTGAGTCCACAGGAGGACGGCTGCTCTCTGAGTGTGAGCATAGCCTTGGTCTTTCAGTGGGGGCTTTAGGCAAAGTGGGGTTAAGTGTCTTGCCCAAGGACACAACGACAGCAGTCATCAGTGGGAGTCGGTGGAGAAGGTGTAGAGGTGGGAATTGAACCCACGACCTTCAGGCCTGAAGGCCAATGCTCTACCAACTGAGCTATTGTCGCCCCAAAAACTACCTTTGATAGGTAGTTTTTGTAGTTAATTATAACATGACGAGTGTAATGAACAAGTTTAGAAAAAGACATGCTAAAGTGTCACGATAAGTACTGAAGTACTTACAATTTTCTATGGTAGACTGTACAGTCTGCCAGGCAGGCCCCAGCCAGGCCCCAGCCAGGCCCCAGCCAGGCCCCAGCCAGGCCCCAGCCAGGCCCCAGCCAGGCCCCAGCCAGGCCCCAGCCAGGCCCCAGCCAGGCCCCAGCCAGGCCCTAGCCAGGCCCCAGGCAGGCCCCAGGCCTATGCATTTATTGTTAAAAATAATTAATGATCGACATTCAAATTTATATTAATGTAAACAAGTAATAGATATTGCATCTTACCTTATTATTGAATATATATTTATACCTACTGTAATATAAACCTCTTTATGTAGTTATGTGGTCGGTTTCGGGGCCTCAAAGGACTCTGTTGCCTGGGGCCCCGGGGTGCCCTTGGAACGCCACTGACTGTGAGTCGCTAGCATTTAGCCTAGCCATATCCTTTGCCATTAACGAAGCCTGTGGGAAGTAGAGCCACAACCTCTTTGCCAGCAGTTACATTTGCTAAACTTGCTCCGGCTTCAATTTCTATTTCTTATATTTGGAGCCGAACCAGAACGGATTACTTTATTATCGCATTCGCTGCCATTACCAAACTACAACCAGCAAATTGGCGCAAACTCTTGACGTCACGACACCTACCTAAAACACCCCCCCCCCCCGTCTCGCTGAATGGTCGGATGAGATACAACCGAGGAGGCGCTGCACAGACGCTGCCAACAACCAGGGTCCTTTTGCAAATTTCACAACGTTCATACGAGGATGAAAAATGATGTAGTTCTAGCGCCCGGCCAGTAGTGGGCCACGGACACACGCAACACCAGCAGTATAATCACTTCCTCAACAACATCCTCCTCAGGCGCCGCAAATACCATGCTTTGCGTGGTTTCGTTTGGACGAACAAAGAAGTTGAATTCGCCTCCGTGCAGCGCTCGAAGCACACGTAGCTAGTTAGTCTTCCCGCCGCCATTGTTGTTTAAGTTTGTTCTTGGCCACTGCGCAGGTCCAAATGTAGGTGCGGGGAGTAGCGGGGAGGTGGGGGTCAGAGCAGCAGACAATTCACACCTTTTTCTTCACACGGGTGTATATGTTGTGTTTCAACTGTTGATTCTCTGATCTGTGTTGGTGATTTCAATGGTTTTGTTAAGTCCTCTCAGATGACTGCTGTTGTGGTTTAGGGCTATACAAGAATAAGTTGTTGTTGTTGAAAGAGCGCCCCCCGCTGAGGAGCGTATCTGAGCTGTCCCACTCTGTAGGCTGGAACTTAATGCTTTTCACTTGAAACACGGTCTCTATGTGAGCGGTAGTTAGCCACCGACATCCAACTATAGCGTTTTACTGCTGCAGCGTCTCCGTCTAAACGGGGCCCCAGATATAACATGTGGTAAATAATCAATCCTGGAGTTTACAGATGGCTAAGGCCAGGATACCTCAGTACCAGAGGACAGCCACATCCTGTCACAAAACATATATTTGTGTGTATACTGCAGGTATATATATGTGTGTGTGTATTTATAGGGTACAGTGAGGACGGTGGCTGCAAAGAGGGGGAGGTGATCCCAGAGCACGAGCTGGCAGCTGGACCTGTGTGCCTGGATGATGAGAGCGAGTTTCCCCCTGTGAGAAAGGCAATACACATACACAGATACACACACACACTCACACTCTCACACACACATGCACACACATGCACACACACACACACACACGCACGCACATACACTCGCTCTCTCACACACGCACACACACACACACACACACACACAGATTTAGAAAGTATTCTGGGTTACAAGGTATAGAGGGGCCCAGAGGTTAGAGGGGTAAACATGGAGTCCTGTGATCAGTAAATGATGCATTGAATTGTGGGAGCTGAATGTGGAACTCATGGTGTATTCTTGTGTGTTTGTAGATCAAGGGTGGAGACGGTAGCGATGTGTCTGAGAGCGACAGCTTCTGCAAACTCTGACCGTCGCCATGGTGCTATACACAGCGGGACCGTTGCCATGGTGCTACACACACCAGGACCGTCGCCATGGTGCTACACACATCGGGACCGTCGCCATGATGCTATACACACCGGGATCGTTGCCATGGTGCCACACACATCGAGGCCGTCGCCATTATGCTAAACACACCGGGACCGTCGCCATGGTGCCGCACACATTGGGGCCGTCGCCATGGTGCCACACACATCGAGACCGTCGCCATGATGCTATACACACCGGGGCCGTCGCCATGGTGCCACAAACATCGGGGCCGTCGCCATGGTGCAATACACACCGGGACCGTCGCCATGGTGCCACACACACCGGGACCGTCGCCATGGTGCCACACACACCGGGACCGTCGCCATGGTGCCGCCCACCCCTGGACCGTCGCTATGGTGCCACACACACCGGGACCGTCGCCATGGTGCCACACACACCGGGACCGTCGCCATGCTGCCATACACACCGGGACCGTCCCCATGGTGTTATTCACAAAACGCACACACCCTGGTGCTTGTCGTACGGTCAGTCTGCGGTAGTGCCACTAGTTTACACCTGTGCAAAAGCCTGATGATCCACTGACTGTAGAACCTGCTCACTGGCTGAAGCCTCTTAGGGAAGTGCTCATGGAGAAGTTTTGCTCTTTTGGCTCCCTTTACTTTCATTTAAAAGTAAACTCCTCATACTCTGAAGCTGAGCCCAAGTTCCACTTCTCGTCATAAAAGAAGAGCTTTTCTTTGTAATGATCTTGAACCCAATGAGTTTACAGCAACAGTCAATATGCGCCTGTAACTAGCAGTGCTGGGTACAACTCATCCATCCATTGTCTTCCCCTCAATCCATTTCTGGGTCAGAGGGGTGGCAGTCAGAGCTGCACCCAGTACACATAGCACCAGCCCCCGTCAGTGGGGGCTTCAGGCAAAGTGGGGTTAAGTGTCTTGCACTTGGTATCACTCAGTTACGTAATTAGTTGCTGTCAATAGATTCCATGTTTGAGTAACTAAGTAGTGTAACACATTACTTTGAAAATACTTTTAGAGTTACTGTCAAAATTCCCATTATAATAATGTTATTTGTGGAACTCATACAGGTTGAAAAAACAGATGCAGCTTCGACATGACGCATTCAGAGGAATACAATGTACAGTATTCTGTGTACTGTATCCTGTATACTGTGTACTGTATACTGTGTACTGTATCCTGTGTACTGTATCCTGTGTACTGTATACTGTGTACTGTACAGTGTGTGCACAGTTCAGACGCTACAGTACAGACGCTACAGTACAGACGCTTCAGTACAGACGCTACAGTACAGACGCTACAGCTCAGACGCCACAGTACAGACGCCACAGTACAGACGCTACAGTACAGACGCTACAGTACAGACGCTTCAGTACAGACGCTACAGTACAGACGCTACAGCTCAGACGCCACAGTACAGACGCCACAGTACAGACGCCACAGTACAGACGCTACAGCTCAGACGCTACAGCACAGACGCCACAGTACAGACGCTACAGTACAGACGCTACAGTACAGACGCTACAGTACAGACGCCACAGTACAGACGCTACAGTACAGACGCTACAGTACAGACGCCACAGTACAGACGCTACAGCTCAGACGCTACAGCACAGACGCCACAGTACAGACGCCACAGTACAGACGCCACAGTACAGACGCCACAGTACAGACGCCACAGTACAGACGCTACAGCACAGACGCCACAGTACAGACGCCACAGTACAGACGCCACAGTACAGATGCTACAGCTCAGACGCTACAGCTCAGACGCCACAGTACAGACGCCACAGTACAGACGCTACAGTACAGACGCCACAGTACAGACGCTACAGTACAGACGCCACAGTACAGACGGTACAGTACAGACGGTACCGTACAGACGCTACCATACAAACGCTACAGTACAGACGCTACAGCTCAGACGCCACAGTACAGACGCCACAGTACAGACGCCACAGTACAGACGCCACAGTACAGACGCTACAGCACAGACGCCACAGTACAGACGCCACAGTACAGACGCCACAGTACAGATGCTACAGCTCAGACGCTACAGCTCAGACGCCACAGTACAGACGCCACAGTACAGACGCTGCAGTACAGACGCCACAGTACAGACGCTACAGTACAGACGCCACAGTACAGACGGTACAGTACAGACGGTACCGTACAGACGCCACAGTACAGACGCCACAGTACAGACGCCACAGTACAGATGCTACAGCTCAGACGCCACAGCACAGACGCCACAGTACAGACGCCACAGTACAGACGCTACAGCACAGACGCCACAGTACAGACGCCACAGTACAGACGCCACAGTACAGTCGGTACAGTACAGACGCTACAGTACAGACGCTACAGCTCAGACGCCACAGTACAGACGCCACAGTACAGACGCCACAGTACAGACGCTACAGTACAGACGCTACAGTACAGACGCTACAGCTCAGACGCCACAGCACAGACGCCACAGCACAGACGCCACAGTACAGACGCCACAGTACATACGCCACAGCACAGACGCTACAGCACAGACGCCACAGTACAGACGCCACAGTACAGACGCTACAGTACAGACGCTACCGCACAGACGCTACAGTACAGACGCCACAGTACAGACGCTACAGTACAGACGCTTCATTACAGACGCCACAGTACAGACGCTACAGTAGAGACGCTACAGTACTCTCTCTGTCCTCTTCTGTCTCCACTCCCAGAGCAGATGTGCCTTTTAAATCCAGATAAATCCAGGTACATACCATCAGGTGCCTTCTAAAACTGAATTTGGCTTCAGCTAGCTAACAGCGCGAGCAGGAATGGACCAGCCTCATGATTGGCTCTTTGGTTGCTATGAGGTTGCTAGGGGCTCTAAATTCCAGCACATGGAGCGTTTGGTACAGCACAGACGCCACAGTACAGACGCCACAGTACAGACGCTACAGTACAGACGCTACAGTACAGACGCCACAGTACAGACGCCACAGTACAGATGCTACAGCTCAGACGCCACAGTACAGACGCCACAGTACAGACGCTACAGTACAGACGCTACAGTACAAACGCCACAGTACAGACGCCACAGTACAGACGCCACAGTACAGATGCTACAGCTCAGACGCCACAGTACAGACGCCACAGTACAGACGCTACAGTACAGACGCTACAGTACAAACGCCACAGTACAGACGCCACAGTACAGACGCCACAGTACAGACGCCACAGTACAGACGCTACAGCACAGACGCCACAGTACAGACGCCACAGTACAGACGCCACAGTACAGATGCTACAGCACAGACGCCACAGTACAGACGCCACAGTACAGACGCCACAGTACAGACGCCACAGTACAGATGCTACAGCTCAGACGCTACAGCTCAGACGCCACAGTACAGACGCCACAGTACAGACGCTACAGTACAGACGCCACAGTACAGACGCTACAGTACAGACGCCACAGTACAGACGGTACAGTACAGACGGTACCGTACAGACGCTACCGTACAGACGCTACAGTACAGACGCTACAGCTCAGACGCCACAGCACAGACGCCACAGCACAGACGCCACAGTACAGACGCCACAGTACAGACGCCACAGCACAGACGCTACAGCTCAGACGCCTCAGTACAGACGCCACAGTACAGACGCTACAGTACAGACGCTTCATTACAGACGCCACAGTACAGACGCTACAGTACAGACGCTACAGTACAGACGCTACAGTACAGACGCTACAGTACAGACGCTACAGCACAGACGCTACAGTACAGACGCTACCGCACAGACGCTACAGTACAGACGCTACAGTACAGACGCTACAGTACAGACGCTACAGTACAGACGCTACAGTACAGACGCTACAGTACAGACGCTACAGTAGAGACGCTACAGTACAGACGCTACAGTACTCTCTCTGTCCTCTTCTGTCTCCACTCCCAGAGCAGATGTGCCTTTTAAATCCAGATAAATCCAGGTACATGCCATCAGGTGCCTTCTAAAACTGAATATGGCTTCAGCTAGCTAACAGCGCGAGCAGGAATGGACCAGCCTCATGATTGGCTCTTTGGTTGCTATGAGGTTGCTAGGGGCTCTAAATTCCAGCACATGGAGCGTTTGGTCAAAGAAAATACAGTTACTGGACAGAATTGGGCATCAGTGCGTCATGTTTGTGTGGAAGAGAAAAGAACAGAGCCAGTTTTCGGAGGCAAAAGGACAATAATCAGTTTGTAGTTAGCATTGAAGCTAAAAAACAACAACATTTGATCAATAGTAACAGGCAAGACACAATTATCATAACAAAACCAGAAAAGAAACATTAAAATCACAGAAGGCATTCAAATCATAAATAATCACAGCGCAAAGAGTTGTACACTAAACTGTTTTTTATCATGTCAGAGAAGAAGCCTGTCTCACATTTTCAGGAAGACTGTTCCAGATCATAGCTGCATAAATAAAGCTGTAATTCCTTTTCAGGAACGTTCCACTTTTAATTTATGTATTATTCAGTTTGAATTATTTCAGTTGTTGAATTACTTGAAGCGTTGATATTATTCACAGATTCGTGTATTTACAATACATTTTTTTAAATGTCTTTAAGCCAGTGAGATGTTTAGTTACGAAAAGGGAAATAAAATAAAGTCATAAGCCCAGTTTACACCAGCCCTGCTCGGCCCTACTCTACTCTACCTGGTTGTGCTTCCATTACCCTTTAATATTCTGAATTTCTCCAACAGGAATCAATAAAGTATCTATCTATCTAATATCTGGTACCGTATCCTAGCAACCTACCCACAACAAACCAGCTAACCATGGCTTCCAATAGCTCTCTGACCAATCCTCTGTCAATCAGAACGCTTTAGTATCCGCTCTATAGAACCAGGGCCAAGAGGGACAATACCGGGTTAAAAATAAATAGGGCCAATGGAAACACTCACAATTGAGGGAGAGCCGAGCCGAGCCGAGCCGGTGGAAATGGGGATCATTTTTGGTTTTCCAGAAAGCTAATATAAAAATCACAGTGCATTAATAAGAGTGAAGTTACGATCCTCCTGTTGCAGCTGAACTGAACTGTTTCAACACCAATCCCGACATAGTCAGAGAAGAAGTCTGTCTTCTCTGTCAAAGACTGATTGAGGTTTTAGCTGCATATTGGTCCAGCATGTACTGTACGTCAAAACAAAATCACGTTGCGTCTTGTTTTGTGCCGCGGCAGTAGCAGCTCGGTGTCTGTTCATTTCACTTTATCTGTGTGAGAAAAGTACTGTATTTACATCTTTCTTCTGTATCTGTCGGTAAACATGAGTGTAGCTATGTTTAAACTCAGATATTATTATATAATATTATGTATTATTACTGTATTAATCTATTATATCTAAAGTGGATTATGTAGAATTTCAAACGACAACAGAAGCAATTACTGCTAAAGCTCTGGCTGAAGATTCATGTATGGTTTTTTTTTTCTATTTTTAATGTCAAAGAAATATCAACTGTCAGAAAGAATATATTATCCAGATTATCCAGATTTAAGAATTATTGAAGACTTATAAATATATTTTCACTGCTTTGGTTTGAGATTTTTATCTCAAACATCTTCACTGCGAGAACAACCAAAACAACTTGTAAAATACCGGAATTAAAGCTGGGGGACCTGATTTTTTGTTAAATAAATATCTGTCTTGGCCTCTCAGCGATCAGATGAACATTCTTTGGCCGTCTGCTTTTTGGCCTCTGCTCGGAACAAAACCCGACTCAGTTTGGACAGGACGGGTGCGTTTTTATCGACAAATACATGTTAGTTTTATACAGATACAAGCTTAAATGTCTTTACTTTGAGGGCATCACGTCAATACTTTCACTTTGACCAGAGAGGATTTTCTGGACTTTTACTGCTCTACTTCTGTGGTTCTTCTGCGGTACATCTGCAGCACATCTGTGTAGAAAACACAGGTGCAGCTTTTGGGTGAAACTGTTGCATCACTCTTTACTATTTCAGGAGCAGTCACATGACGTCGACTGAAACACAGCTCTTTGAAAGTACTGGACTGGGCTGGACTGGGCTGGACTGGACTGGGCTGGACTGGACTGGACTGGACCGGACCAGCCACATGGGAAGAGAAACTACATGTTGAATATAACTGGCAGCTTTTCATGTTGTAACAGTGAATGGAAACAAAGGCAAGGCAAGTTTATTTGTATAGCACAATTCATACACAAGGCAACTCAAAGTGCTGAACAAGAAAGCATTAAAATCATAAATAAATAATCACAGAACATTAAAAGAAAAGATAAAAATATAAAATCCCTCAGTTGTAGCACAGCTAAACAGAACTGTTTTTAACCTGGTTTTAAACATTGTCAGAGAGGAGGCCTGTCTCACATCTTCAGGAAGACTGTTCCAGATTTTTGCTGAATCTGAAAAGCAGCCTCCCCATGTTTAGTGCTGACTCTGGGCACTAACAGGAGTCCAGTCCCTGTGCTCCTCAGAGTCCGGGCTGGTTCATATGGTACTAACATGTCACTAATATATTTTTTGTGTGAGGCCATGGAGAGACTTGTAACAAGCAGAGCTGTTTTAAAGTCTATTCTCTGAGCCACAGGAAGCCAGTGCAGAGACCTGAGAACTGCACTAATGTGGTCGTACTTCCTACAATAGACGACTGAGGCAAAAGGCACGAGGTGAACAAGAAGGAAACCAAGAAATAGGACACATTTATAGTAAACAAATTATTGTAGAAAAAATCATATGATGTAAGTAAGTAATGTTCATATATATAGCGTATTTTACAGACCAAGGTCACCCAAAGAGCTTTACAATGTTCAGAGTTCAGATATTGTTCCAGTCATTCCACACACGGTGATGACAGAAGCAAAAACACACTGGACCTATTGTGCATGTTTTTAGTGGTAGGGGAAACCAAAGCACCCGGAGGAAACCTACACAGACACAGGGAGAACATGCATACTCAGAAAGGCCCTGTTCCAACCGGGATTCGAACACAGCCACTACCCACCCGCTGTAAGCTTTATGTTTTTGTAAGCTTCTCAAACAAAAACCTAAAAGTAAAAACAGAAACCACAAAGATCCTCAACCTTCACACGCTGTAATTGTCTTTGGATCAACAGTTGTGGCCGTGTGAATCAGACATTTTGGAAGAATTCAAGATTTCTAACGCCTTTTGGGAGCTACTTGGAAGGGTGTTACTGGTAGCTCCCAAGCAACTGGTCAGACCCCTGCTGTGAGTTCAGAGAATTGACTGAATCATATTTGCATGTTATTTCAGTGTTTCTCATAGACTGTTTAAAAGTAAAAAAAAAAAAGGTTCTACATTCTCTGCAGCTGCCCCATTGTCAATCCCCTTATTCTCAGAGGTCTCCCATCCCAGCTCGTATTCCACTCACTCAGCAACTGGAGTCACGGGGCCGCAGGTCTGCCAGGGGATCGCAATCACCCCCATGGTTACCCTGATCTGACGTTGCGGTCAGGCGCGTTTGCCCACGCACTGCCATGTTGTCCTGCTCTCTCAATTCCTCCATCTCGAGATGGAGGAATTGAGAGAGCAGGTCTACTTGGCAGTGGGTGGGCAAACGCGCCTGACCGCATCGTCAGATGAGGGTAACCTTGAGAGTGAGCGTTCGCTCCTGGCTGTCCTGCGGCCCCGTGACTCCAGTTGGTGAGTGAGTGGAATACGAGCTCGGGATGGCAGCCGTGTCGAGAAGACTCCGGGGAGTGGCCAGTGGGCCGTGCGGCATCGCAGAGATCGCCAACTCCTAAATATTTTTTGTATACCTTTTTCACCATGCCTGTGATGCCACCCCTGCAAAGTTCTTGGCTCACTGATCATTCAGGCAAGTCTCTGAGACGCTAACAGCATGGGTCTCCGTACCTGTTTGCTTGGTGCGTCCAGGTAAACACAGTCTCGGCCATGCAACTCTTGATCCCCCCCAATTCACACGGCCACAATTACAAAGACAATTACAGCGTGTGAAGGTTGAGGATCCTTTGTGGTTTCTGTTTTTACTTTTAGGTTTTTTGTTTGAGAAGCTTACAAAAACATAAAGCTTACAGCGGGTGGGTAGTGGCTGTGTTCGAATCCCGGTTGGAACAGGGCCTTTCTGAGTATGCATGTTCTCCCTGTGTCTGTGTAGGTTTCCCCTCCGGGTGCTTTGGTTTCCCCTACCACTAAAAACATGCACAATAGGTCCAGTGTGTTTTTGCTTCTGTCATCACCGTGTGTGGAATGACTGGAACAATATCTGAACTCTGAACATTGTTAAAGCTCTTTGGGTGACCTTGGTCTGTATAATACGCTATATATATGAACATTACTTACTTACATCATATGATTTTTTCTACAATAATTTGTTTTACTATAAATGTGTCCCTATTTCTTGGTTTCCCTTCTTGTTCACCTCGTGCCTTTTGCCTCATCGTCTATTGTAGGGAAGTACGACCACATTAGTGCAGTTCTCAGGTCTCTGCACTGGCTTCCTGTGGCTCAGAGAATAGACTTTAAAACAGCTCTGCTTGTGTACAAGTCTCTCCATGGCCTCGCACCAAAATATATTAGTGACATGTTAGTACCATATGAACCAGCCCGGACTCTGAGGAGCACAGGGACTGGACTCCTGTTAGTGCCCAGAGTCAGCACTAAACATGGGGAGGCTGCTTTTCAGATTCAGCAAAAATCTGGAACAGTCTTCCTGAAGATGTGAGACAGGCCTCCTCTCTGACAATGTTTAAAACCAGGTTAAAAACAGTTCTGTTTAGCTGTGCTACAACTGAGGGATTTTATATTTTTATCTTTTCTTTTAATGTTCTGTGATTATTTATGATTTTAATGCTATCTTGTTCAGCACTTTGAGTTGCCTTGTGTATGAATTGTGCTATACAAATAAACTTGCCTTGCCTTTGTTTCCATTCACTGTTACAACATGAAAAGCTGCCAGTTATATTCAACATGTAGTTTCTCTTCCCATGTGGCTGGTCCGGTCCAGTCCAGTCCAGCCCAGTCCAGCCCAGTCCAGTACTTTCAAAGAGCTGTGTTTCAGTCGACGTCATGTGACTGCTCCTGAAATAGTAAAGAGTGATGCAACAGTTTCACCCAAAAGCTGCACCTGTGTTTTCTACACAGATGTGCTGCAGATGTACCGCAGAAGAACCACAGAAGTAGAGCAGTAAAAGTCCAGAAAATCCTCTCTGGTCAAAGTGAAAGTATTGACGGTGATGCCCTCAAAGTAAAGACATTTAAGCTTGTATCTGTATAAAACTAACATGTATTTGTCGATAAAAACGCACCCGTCCTGTCCAAACTGAGTCGGTGTTTTTGTTCCGAGCAGAGGCCAAAAAGCAACGGCCAAAGAATGTTCATCTGATCGCTGAGAGGCCAAGACAGATATTTATTTAACAAAAAATCAGGTCCCCCCAGCTTTAATTCCGGTATTTTACAAGTTGTTTTGGTTGTTCTCGCAGTGAAGATGTTTGAGATAAAAATCTCAAACCAAAGCAGTGAAAATATATTTATAAGTCTTCAATAATTGCTTAAATCTGGATATTCTGGATAATATATTCTTTCTGACAGTTGATATTTCTTTGACATTAAAAATAGAAAAAAAAACCATACATGAATCTTCAGCCAGAGCTTTAGCAGTAATTGCTTCTGTTGTCGTTTGAAATTCTACATAATCCACTTTAGATATAATAGATTAATACAGTAATAATACATAATATTATATAATAATATCTGAGTTTAAACATAGCTACACTCATGTTTACCGACAGATACAGAAGAAAGATGTAAATACAGTACTTTTCTCACACATAAGTGAAATGAACAGACACCGGCTACTACTGCCGCGGCTCAACGTGATTTTGTTTTGACGTACAGTACATGCTGGCCAATATGCAGCTCCCTCAATCAGTCTTTGACAGAGAAGACAGACTTCTTCTCTGACTATGTCCGGGAGTGTTGAAACAGTTCAGTTCAGCTGCAACAGGAGGATCGTAACTTCACCTTATTAATGCACTGTGATTTTTATATTAGCTTTCTGGAAAACCAAAAATGATCCCATTTCCACCGGTCGGCTCGGCTCGGCTCTCCCTCAATTGTGAGTGTTTCCATTGGCCCTATTTATTTTTGTATTGTCCCTCTGGCCCTGGTTCTATAGAGCGGATACTAAAGCGTTCTGATTGACAGAGGATTGGTCAGAGAGCTATTGGAAGCCATGGTTAGCTGGTTTGTTGTGGGTAGGTTGCTAGGATACGGTACCAGATATTAGATAGATAGATACTTTATTGATTCCTGTTGGAGAAATTCAGAATATTAAAGGGTAATGGAAGCACAACCAGGTAGAGTAGAGTAGGGCCGAGCAGGGCTGGTGTAAACTGGGCTTATGACTTTATTTTATTTCCCTTTTCGTAACTAAACATCTCACTGGCTTAAAGACATTTAAAAAAATGTATTGTAAATACACAAATCTGTGAATAATATCAACGCTTCAAGTAATTCAACAACTGAAATAATTCAAACTGAATAATACATAAATTAAAAGTGGAACGTTCCTGAAAAGGAATTACAGCTTTATTTATGCAGCTATGATCTGGAACAGTCTTCCTGAAAATGTGAGACAGGCTTCTTCTCTGACATGATAAAAAACAGTTTAGTGTACAACTCTTTGCGCTGTGATTATTTATGATTTGAATGCCTTCTGTGATTTTAATGTTTCTTTTCTGGTTTTGTTATGATAATTGTGTCTTGCCTGTTACTATTGATCAAATGTTGTTGTTTTTTAGCTTCAATGCTAACTACAAACTGATTATTGTCCTTTTGCCTCCGAAAACTGGCTCTGTTCTTTTCTCTTCCACACAAACATGACGCACTGATGCCCAATTCTGTCCAGTAACTGTATTTTCTTTGACCAAACGCTCCATGTGCTGGAATTTAGAGCCCCTAGCAACCTCATAGCAACCAAAGAGCCAATCATGAGGCTGGTCCATTCCTGCTCGCGCTGTTAGCTAGCTGAAGCCATATTCAGTTTTAGAAGGCACCTGATGGCATGTACCTGGATTTATCTGGATTTAAAAGGCACATCTGCTCTGGGAGTGGAGACAGAAGAGGACAGAGAGAGTACTGTAGCGTCTGTACTGTAGCGTCTCTACTGTAGCGTCTCTACTGTAGCGTCTCTACTGTAGCGTCTGTACTGTAGCGTCTGTACTGTAGCGTCTGTACTGTAGCGTCTGTACTGTAGCGTCTGTGCGGTAGCGTCTGTACTGTAGCGTCTGTGCTGTAGCGTCTGTACTGTAGCGTCTGTACTGTAGCGTCTGTACTGTAGCGTCTGTACTGTAGCGTCTGTACTGTGGCGTCTGTAATGAAGCGTCTGTACTGTAGCGTCTGTACTGTGGCGTCTGTACTGAGGCGTCTGAGCTGTAGCGTCTGTGCTGTGGCGTCTGTACTGTGGCGTCTGTACTGTGGCGTCTGTGCTGTGGCGTCTGTGCTGTGGCGTCTGAGCTGTAGCGTCTGTACTGTAGCGTCTGTACGGTAGCGTCTGTACGGTACCGTCTGTACTGTACCGTCTGTACTGTGGCGTCTGTACTGTAGCGTCTGTACTGTGGCGTCTGTACTGTAGCGTCTGTACTGTGGCGTCTGTACTGTGGCGTCTGAGCTGTAGCGTCTGAGCTGTAGCATCTGTACTGTGGCGTCTGTACTGTGGCGTCTGTACTGTGGCGTCTGTACTGTGGCGTCTGTGCTGTAGCATCTGTACTGTGGCGTCTGTACTGTGGCGTCTGTACTGTGGCGTCTGTGCTGTAGCGTCTGTACTGTGGCGTCTGTACTGTGGCGTCTGTACTGTGGCGTCTGTACTGTGGCGTTTGTACTGTAGCGTCTGTACTGTAGCGTCTGTACTGTGGCGTCTGTACTGTGGCGTCTGAGCTGTAGCATCTGTACTGTGGCGTCTGTACTGTGGCGTCTGTACTGTGGCGTTTGTACTGTAGCGTCTGTACTGTAGCGTCTGTACTGTGGCGTCTGTACTGTGGCGTCTGAGCTGTAGCATCTGTACTGTGGCGTCTGTACTGTGGCGTCTGTACTGTAGCGTCTGTACTGTAGCGTCTGTACTGTGGCGTCTGTACTGTGGCGTCTGTGCTGTACCAAACGCTCCATGTGCTGGAATTTAGAGCCCCTAGCAACCTCATAGCAACCAAAGAGCCAATCATGAGGCTGGTCCATTCCTGCTCGCGCTGTTAGCTAGCTGAAGCCAAATTCAGTTTTAGAAGGCACCTGATGGTATGTACCTGGATTTATCTGGATTTAAAAGGCACATCTGCTCTGGGAGTGGAGACAGAAGAGGACAGAGAGAGTACTGTAGCGTCTCTACTGTAGCGTCTGTACTGTGGCGTCTGTAATGAAGCGTCTGTACTGTAGCGTCTGTACTGTGGCGTCTGTACTGTAGCGTCTGTGCGGTAGCGTCTGTACTGTAGCGTCTGTACTGTGGCGTCTGTACTGTGGCGTCTGTGCTGTAGCGTCTGTGCTGTGGCGTATGTACTGTGGCGTCTGTACTGTGGCGTCTGTGCTGTGGCGTCTGTGCTGTGGCGTCTGAGCTGTAGCGTCTGTACTGTAGCGTCTGTACTGTAGCGTCTGTACTGTGGCGTCTGTACTGTGGCGTCTGTACTGTGGCGTCTGAGCTGTAGCGTCTGTACTGTAGCGTCTGTACTGTACCGACTGTACTGTGGCGTCTGTACTGTGGCGTCTGTACTGTGGCGTCTGTGCTGTAGCGTCTGTACTGTGGCGTCTGTACTGTGGCGTCTGTGCTGTGGCGTCTGAGCTGTAGCATCTGTACTGTGGCGTCTGTACTGTGGCGTCTGTACTGTGGCGTCTGTACGGTACCGTCTGTACTGTACCGTCTGTACTGTGGCGTCTGTACTGTAGCGTCTGTACTGTGGCGTCTGTACTGCAGCGTCTGTACTGTGGCGTCTGTACTGTGGCGTCTGAGCTGTAGCGTCTGAGCTGTAGCATCTGTACTGTGGCGTCTGTACTGTGGCGTCTGTACTGTGGCGTCTGTGCTGTAGCGTCTGTACTGTGGCGTCTGTACTGTGGCGTCTGTACTGTGGCGTCTGTACTGTGGCGTCTGAGCTGTAGCGTCTGTACTGTAGCGTTTGTATGGTAGCGTCTGTACGGTACCGTCTGTACTGTACCGTCTGTACTGTGGCGTCTGTACTGTAGCGTCTGTACTGTGGCGTCTGTACTGTAGCGTCTGTACTGTGGCGTCTGTACTGTGGCGTCTGAGCTGTAGCGTCTGAGCTGTAGCATCTGTACTGTGGCGTCTGTACTGTGGCGTCTGTACTGTGGCGTCTGTGCTGTAGCGTCTGTACTGTGGCGTCTGTACTGTGGCGTCTGTACTGTGGCGTCTGTACTGTGGCGTCTGTACTGTGGCGTCTGTGCTGTAGCGTCTGAGCTGTAGCGTCTGTACTGTGGCGTCTGTACTGTAGCGTCTGTACTGTAGCGTCTGTACTGTGGCGTCTGTACTGTAGCGTCTGTACTGTAGCGTCTGTACTGTAGCGTCTGTACTGTGGCGTCTGTGCTGTAGCGTCTGAGCTGTAGCGTCTGTACTGTGGCGTCTGTACTGTGGCGTCTGTACTGTGGCGTCTGAGCTGTAGCGTCTGTACTGTAGCGTCTGTACTGAAGCGTCTGTACTGTAGCGTCTGTACTGTAGCGTCTGTACTGTGGCGTCTGTACTGTGGCGTCTGAGCTGTAGCGTCTGTACTGTAGCGTCTGTACTGAAGCGTCTGTACTGTAGCGTCTGTACTGTAGCGTCTGAACTGTGCACACACTGTACAGTACACAGTATACAGTACACAGGATACAGTACACAGGATACAGTACACAGTATACAGTACACAGTATACAGGATACAGTACACAGAATACTGTACATTGTATTCCTCTGAATGCGTCATGTCGAAGCTGCATCTGTTTTTTCAACCTGTATGAGTTCCACAAATAACATTATTATAATGGGAATTTTGACAGTAACTCTAAAAGTATTTTCAAAGTAATGTGTTACACTACTTAGTTACTCAAACATGGAATCTATTGACAGCAACTAATTACGTAACTGAGTGATACCAAGTGCAAGACACTTAACCCCACTTTGCCTGAAGCCCCCACTGACGGGGGCTGGTGCTATGTGTACTGGGTGCAGCTCTGACTGCCACCCCTCTGACCCAGAAATGGATTGAGGGGAAGACAATGGATGGATGAGAGTTGTACCCAGCACTGCTAGTTACAGGCGCATATTGACTGTTGCTGTAAACTCATTGGGTTCAAGATCATTACAAAGAAAAGCTCTTCTTTTATGACGAGAAGTGGAACTTGGGCTCAGCTTCAGAGTATGAGGAGTTTACTTTTAAATGAAAGTAAAGGGAGCCAAAAGAGCAAAACTTCTCCATGAGCACTTCCCTAAGAGGCTTCAGCCAGTGAGCAGGTTCTACAGTCAGTGGATCATCAGGCTTTTGCACAGGTGTAAACTAGTGGCACTACCGCAGACTGACCGTACGACAAGCACCAGGGTGTGTGCGTTTTGTGAATAACACCATGGGGACGGTCCCGGTGTGTATGGCAGCATGGCGACGGTCCCGGTGTGTGTGTGGCACCATGGCGACGGTCCCGGTGTGTGTGGCACCATAGCGACGGTCCAGGGGTGGGCGGCACCATGGCGACGGTCCCGGTGTGTGTGGCACCATGGCGACGGTCCCGGTGTGTGTGGCACCATGGCGACGGTCCCGGTGTGTATTGCACCATGGCGACGGCCCCGATGTTTGTGGCACCATGGCGACGGCCCCGGTGTGTATAGCATCATGGCGACGGTCTCGATGTGTGTGGCACCATGGCGACGGCCCCAATGTGTGCGGCACCATGGCGACGGTCCCGGTGTGTTTAGCATAATGGCGACGGCCTCGATGTGTGTGGCACCATGGCAACGATCCCGGTGTGTATAGCATCATGGCGACGGTCCCGATGTGTGTAGCACCATGGCGACGGTCCTGGTGTGTGTAGCACCATGGCAACGGTCCCGCTGTGTATAGCACCATGGCGACGGTCAGAGTTTGCAGAAGCTGTCGCTCTCAGACACATCGCTACCGTCTCCACCCTTGATCTACAAACACACAAGAATACACCATGAGTTCCACATTCAGCTCCCACAATTCAATGCATCATTTACTGATCACAGGACTCCATGTTTACCCCTCTAACCTCTGGGCCCCTCTATACCTTGTAACCCAGAATACTTTCTAAATCTGTGTGTGTGTGTGTGTGTGTGTGTGTGCGTGTGTGAGAGAGCGAGTGTATGTGCGTGCGTGTGTGTGTGTGTGTGTGTGCATGTGTGTGCATGTGTGTGTGAGAGTGTGAGTGTGTGTGTGTATCTGTGTATGTGTATTGCCTTTCTCACAGGGGGAAACTCGCTCTCATCATCCAGGCACACAGGTCCAGCTGCCAGCTCGTGCTCTGGGATCACCTCCCCCTCTTTGCAGCCACCGTCCTCACTGTACCCTATAAATACACACACACATATATATACCTGCAGTATACACACAAATATATGTTTTGTGACAGGATGTGGCTGTCCTCTGGTACTGAGGTATCCTGGCCTTAGCCATCTGTAAACTCCAGGATTGATTATTTACCACATGTTATATCTGGGGCCCCGTTTAGACGGAGACGCTGCAGCAGTAAAACGCTATAGTTGGATGTCGGTGGCTAACTACCGCTCACATAGAGACCGTGTTTCAAGTGAAAAGCATTAAGTTCCAGCCTACAGAGTGGGACAGCTCAGATACGCTCCTCAGCGGGGGGCGCTCTTTCAACAACAACAACTTATTCTTGTATAGCCCTAAACCACAACAGCAGTCATCTGAGAGGACTTAACAAAACCATTGAAATCACCAACACAGATCAGAGAATCAACAGTTGAAACACAACATATACACACCCGTGTGAAGAAAAAGGTGTGAATTGTCTGCTGCTCTGACCCCCACCTCCCCGCTACTCCCCGCACCTACATTTGGACCTGCGCAGTGGCCAAGAACAAACTTAAACAACAATGGCGGCGGGAAGACTAACTAGCTACGTGTGCTTCGAGCGCTGCACGGAGGCGAATTCAACTTCTTTGTTCGTCCAAACGAAACCACGCAAAGCATGGTATTTGCGGCGCCTGAGGAGGATGTTGTTGAGGAAGTGATTATACTGCTGGTGTTGCGTGTGTCCGTGGCCCACTACTGGCCGGGCGCTAGAACTACATCATTTTTCATCCTCGTATGAACGTTGTGAAATTTGCAAAAGGACCCTGGTTGTTGGCAGCGTCTGTGCAGCGCCTCCTCGGTTGTATCTCATCCGACCATTCAGCGAGACGGGGGGGGGGGGGTGTTTTAGGTAGGTGTCGTGACGTCAAGAGTTTGCGCCAATTTGCTGGTTGTAGTTTGGTAATGGCAGCGAATGCGATAATAAAGTAATCCGTTCTGGTTCGGCTCCAAATATAAGAAATAGAAATTGAAGCCGGAGCAAGTTTAGCAAATGTAACTGCTGGCAAAGAGGTTGTGGCTCTACTTCCCACAGGCTTCGTTAATGGCAAAGGATATGGCTAGGCTAAATGCTAGCGACTCACAGTCAGTGGCGTTCCAAGGGCACCCCGGGGCCCCAGGCAACAGAGTCCTTTGAGGCCCCGAAACCGACCACATAACTACATAAAGAGGTTTATATTACAGTAGGTATAAATATATATTCAATAATAAGGTAAGATGCAATATCTATTACTTGTTTACATTAATATAAATTTGAATGTCGATCATTAATTATTTTTAACAATAAATGCATAGGCCTGGGGCCTGCCTGGGGCCTGGCTAGGGCCTGGCTGGGGCCTGGCTGGGGCCTGGCTGGGGCCTGGCTGGGGCCTGGCTGGGGCCTGGCTGGGGCCTGGCTGGGGCCTGGCTGGGGCCTGGCTGGGGCCTGGCTGGGGCCTGCCTGGCAGACTGTACAGTCTACCATAGAAAATTGTAAGTACTTCAGTACTTATCGTGACACTTTAGCATGTCTTTTTCTAAACTTGTTCATTACACTCGTCATGTTATAATTAACTACAAAAACTACCTATCAAAGGTAGTTTTTGGGGCGACAATAGCTCAGTTGGTAGAGCATTGGCCTTCAGGCCTGAAGGTCGTGGGTTCAATTCCCACCTCTACACCTTCTCCACCGACTCCCACTGATGACTGCTGTCGTTGTGTCCTTGGGCAAGACACTTAACCCCACTTTGCCTAAAGCCCCCACTGAAAGACCAAGGCTATGCTCACACTCAGAGAGCAGCCGTCCTCCTGTGGACTCACCACCTGCAGAGGGTCAGTGAGGGGCTGGTGCTATGAGACTTGGGTGGCATCTCTGATAAACACCCCACTGACCCAGAAATGGATTAAAGGGTAGAAAATGGATGGATGGATGGACCTATCAAAGTGTATTAATCCTACAAAATCTTAGCTTTTACAGTTCTTGAGCAATCTGTCATAAAATATAATAGTTTAATCCAAAACAATGCGCTCACCCGGATTCAAACTCGGGTCATCACGGTGCAAGTGCTGCAACTTCACCACTAGACTACTCTTACATTCAATACATGATCTGCCCCAGGCAGGGTTTTTAACTGTTAATGAAGAACGTGGCAAGTTTTGCATCAGACGAAAAGTTTTATCTGCCAACTCGTCACTGCAGGTAACTGTTGTAGCCTGTACAAGTTGACCGTTTGTGTCAAATCAGTTGGCCCTCAGGGGCCCCCTGCCGGTTTGGGGGCTCCAGGCAGCTGCCTGCCTTGCCTAATGGCAAGGGACGCCTCTGGTCACAGTAAACTCAGATCAGTGAGGGAGGGTCCCAGCTCAAAAGTGTCCAAAATGACGTGCACTGACATGCTGCAATACCACCCCGGGCCTGTGGGGGTGGACCCAGAATAAGAATTCGGGCGTTCTGCTCTCCCAAAATTTCATCCACTGAGCGGCGCTGTGATAAAAAAATGACACCGTTTGTTGCCCAGTTCACTTCCGGTTGATTTCATACAATGGCGAATATGGCTCACGAAAACAACAAACGATTGACAGTGCCTGAATTGCGTGAAAGGTTGAAGCGAAAGGGTATTTGCAGTGTGGGAAAACGAAAGGAGGAATTGTTGTTGCTAGTTCAACGAGCGGATGGTGTTTATGAAGATTTAGAAGAAGATGACAGCGAGCAGAGTGAACGAAAACGGCTGTGTGTGCGAGTGACAGATGGTAACAATGAGAATGAAGTTCAGCTAAGAGGGAAGAATGTGAATTGGACGGATGATTTGCGCGATATGCCACTAGTTAGAGACGGGAATGTATTTGCATACAGAAAATGACGAAAACACTCAACCATTTAGAGAAAATGCGCCGGGCAGAGAGAACCGGAAGTTACGAAGGCAAGTGTTACCCATAATGCAACGCAAAATTCAGTCGCTCCCCCGCCCATCGGATGGAATTTTGGGAGAGCAGAACGCCCGAATTAGCCAATGCTAACACATAGCATTGGCAGACCTCTCAAAAACTTCTTTACAGGATGGTCCAAAAGTTGGCTCTTGGCCCAAAGCTCCGTTCCACATGTGTGTCAATGCTGAGGGGGGTGGATTTTTTTGGACCAGTCTAGTTTACTTGCTGTGAATTTTTGAAGTCTCTCGTTCAAATGAATGGAGCTGCACCGGCTGACGCATGCGCAGATGCGTTTTTTCACAATTTTCTTGTGGGCGGGACCACTCGTGGCCATTTTGGATATCTCCAGTAGAGCACTATTTTTGGCCCATTAGTTTGAATGTCAGAGATAGACGTGACTACGTCCGTTATTTTTTACAGTCTATGACTCAGATCCAATCATTTCAATCTGCAAAACGAGTTAACCCCTCCCACCTGTTAACGGAGCTCCGAGGAGCAAATCCAGACCTTAGTACAAAATTAAATTTGTACTATGGTGTGGTAAGACCAGGCAAGTACTGGGGACGTGTGTGGGCAAACTACCTGTGAGCACAGCAGCGGTCAGGCCTGGAGCCGGGGGTAAGGCAGCTGTGGCAGCATACGAGGGCACAGGGGTCAGTGGTCCTGAGGAATCTGATGCCACTGACAGGGTCCCTTCACTTTGGTCCTGGAGTTGGGCTCCCACAAGTCTATAGAAAGGGATACACACGCAGACTGAGAGTGCCTATCAGATCAACAGACCCGGGAGGACCAGAGGTGGCTGAAATTAGTTATTTCCATGGTAAGACCAGTCGCCAACGAACACAAAACCAGGAAGTACAATCACATTAGTCCAGTTCTCAGGTCGGTGAAGACTGGGGGATCTAAACACAGAGGAGGCAGGGACACAGAGAGGAGGAGACTCACTGATGTGTGTGGGACAGGTGGCACTTGCCCCCCAGTGCTGGGTCAAAAGTGTAGATGTACAGTGTGGCGTCAGACGTGGCTACGAGCAGACGTGGAAGCTTCTGGATCCTATGGAAAACACACATCAATTTAAGATCCCTAAGTCCCCTCAAACCCACATTCTCACACAGACACAGACGCAAGTATTGGCTCGAGGGCGGCCATCACTATGATAACCTGCCCCTGCACACACACTGGCTCACATAATAACTCTGAACATTTGCTTTTCTATGTCTTGGTACTGTGTAATTGCAGAGAAAATCCAATACTGTATGTGTGATTGGATTTCTAAAATATGGATTGGACCGAAAAGGAAACAGGTCCGATGGCTGTGGTTCTATGGAAATAAGGAAGCGAAAGATAGAGACATAAGAGCCTGTAACCTGAGACCACAACACGCACGTCAGGTAACAAGGCACAACTAGCATTTTCTGATAAGTACATTTAGCTCGGGTCTATTCAGGTAGAATAGAATAGTGTCTGCTTACACGGCCAGGGCACATGTGTTCCCGCGCCCGGCCCAGGGCAGCTGTGCGGTGGCGAAGGCGCGGTCCTGGCTTATCAGGTCCGACACCGGAGCAGGGAGGAAGGAGCTGGCAGCGGAGAACATCCTACCCACGTACGAGCCCCACGAAGACACCTCCTCCTCCTCCTCCTGCTGCTGCTGCTGACTGCACAGAGCAAACACACGCACACACACACACACACACACACACACACACCACACAGCCCGTTAGTGCACACTCTGGACTGGAACACGATTTCTCTGTTATCACAACCAATATATCACTTTTTACACTTCAAGTATGGACTTTTAAGCTCCTGTATATAAGCTACACCAGGTACATTTGTAGAGAAAGTACATGTTGTTCACACACAGGCTGCACTTGAATATAACTATCAGGTTTTCATGTTGTAACGCAACACTTACACTTACAACTGTTGAAGACTGAAAAAACGTCCATAAACAACAGCTCCAATCACAAAAACACTTTCCCTGCACTCCCCCGTGCCTCTCTGCTGTTCACATAAACACACTGAAGCTGATGCTCTATCATCAGCTCTGGAGATCTGCAGCTGATAGAGATGTGTCCAAAATTCCCAAAACAAAATTAAAATTGGCCGCATCGCAATACAGGCCGCAGAGATAAAAAGGAGCGGATTATAGTCCAGCAAGACGTGACTTTGTATTATGACTGTTTCATTGTTTATTAAGCTGACTGTGCAGCGCTTTGTAAACATTATTATTATTATTATAAGAACTGTACGTGTTGTTATAGCCTTATCACGCAGTAGGACGTCACATACTCTATGTGTAGTGGGACAGCTGAAGAGTAGCCCTGTTTCCACCAGCTCAGCTCTACTCTACTCTACTCTACTCTACTCTACTCTACTCTACTCTACTCTACTCTACTCTACTCTACTCTACTCTACTACTCTACTCTACTCTACTCTACTCTACTCTACTCTACTCTACTCTACCTACCCTACCCTACCCTACCCTACCCTACCCTACCCTACCCTACCCTACCCTACCCTACCCTACCCTACTCTACTACTCTACTCTGTACCGGTCCTATTTAACCAGTAATGGGTCCTCCTTTAGTCCCTCTTGGTCCTGGTTCTATCCAGGCTGGTACTTAAGTGTTTTAACTCAACACTCTGACCAATGTGCAAATGGAAGCCATGGCTCCAAGGAATTTCCTCGGATACTGGTTTGTTGTGGGTAGGTTACCAAGGCCAAATGGAAACGCAACCAAGTAGAGCCGAGTAGAGTACCCTGTTCTACTTTCTCCATTCGACTCTACCCTGCTCTACTCTAGGGCCAAGTAGAGCCGGTGGAAGGGGCTCATGTGTCGTGGGACAGTGAGGAGTATACTCTGGGGGCAGTACCATATGTACCTGAGGCCTGGCTCCTCCAGTCTGAAGACATGCACAGTCTCAGTGTTGCTGCAGCAGCAGAGGAAGTGTCCATCAGGGCTGAAGGACAGACAGCTGACGTCCACACACCTGCAGCACACACACTTTCTCATCAGTCATTTACTTTGAAACATACTTCAATAACCAAACCATTTGTAAAGTTCTCATTCAGAAACTATTTGAACCAGATATTGCAAAAACAGCATACACTTTTAAATAAGGCATAAATTGTTTCTGCATTTATAAAAGACGTATATATCCTCCAATTTATTGAATACATGTGTCATCAGGATGAATATGTGTTCTCTGTGCCTCGCCATTTGTCCCCCCTTCAGCTTCCTGATTAGACGTTTGTACGTGCGTGCGTGTATGCTTGTGCATATGTGTGTGTGCGTATGTGTGTTTCTGTGTGTGTGTTTGTGTGAGAGACCTCTTCATGCCGCGGCGAAACTCAAAGAGGCGCTGGCCCTCGGGGACGGAGAAGACTCGGATCACAGTGCCCTGAGGGAACAGTAAAAGCAGAAATAAGCTTTCAGCAACTGAAAGACACTTGGTGTGTGTGTGTATTTGTGTATCTGTGTGTGTCTGTGTCTGTGTGTATGTGTGTGCGACTATGCGTGTGTATATGTGTGTTTGTAATACCATGACTGACCTTCTGGGAGGCGCTGGCGAGTCTGGAGCCTGAGGTGCTGAAGCAGAGTGCTGCCAGAGGACTGTGGTGAGCTGAGACCTGGCTCAGTGCACTCTGCACACAAACACACACACAAACACACACACAACACACACACACACACACACACACACCACACATATATTTGTTTAATACACAACTACACTGTATACAGATATAAGGTAAGATGAGATGAACTTTATTGATCTCACAATGGAGAAATGTAAACTGTATCTGGAGTACATCAAAACAACATTTACCAGCAGAAAAAGTGAAATTATTCTCCAATCATGGAAAATAATGACTTATGGAAATACTTCTGGGCTTGAAAAACCAGCTCCTCTGGTGTGAGAGAGAACTCGTCTATTACCTTTGCCTAATTCAACAACTTTTTAACTTGTTTACACTTTTTGCAGTGTCCCCATTTACAATACTGTATGTGTAGGAAGTCTACAGTGGTCTGATGAGACCAGATAAAATAAGCAGCGGTCTAAACTGGTCTACACTGGTCTGCAAAGGTCTACACTGGTCTACACTGGTCTGCACTGGTCTACACTGGTCTACACTGGTCTACACTAGTGAGCTAGCGTTTGGCCCGCTTTCATATATTCAGTAAAATTATCGGTGAAATACAAGTTGTTAGAAAATCTTTGAATCATCTCAAACAAAAGTCTGGGTTTAAATGCATTTAACATTTAATTTGAGTATAACTCCTGTGACGGGTGTGGCCCTCACCAGTGCGGTGGCGTCATACAGCTGCAGCTCTCCACACTCAGGGCCGCTGGGATAGGCCAGGTAGGAGCAGGGGCCCCCACTGGACAGGGCACAGGGGCCACAGGGGCCAAAGGGGCCACACACCAGCCTCTGCAGCAGCTTCATGTCCTTTATGTTGTGTATGTACAGGGAGTCGTCCAGGCCAACCACCAGCCGCTGAAACACAACCACATGGTTAGAATTAGATCAAAGCAGTTGGCACTCTTGCCTGTGCTGTTTGCATGTTCTCCCTGTGTCTTTGTTGAGTTTACATTCAAACCAATATCAGGATGTTCTAAAGTGGAATCCCTGCTCTCTGTGATGTCGACCTGTGCCAGAGCGTTTCTACTTTCTGCTCATTAACCTCTGTCAGGTCTCTAGCTCGGCCCTGAGCCTGTGGTCAGGACATGTGTGGCCTGTGCTCCCACCTGCCACCAGGAGATGGCAGCACTACTCACTTTACCACAGGCATGGTCAAGACTGGTGAGTGTGTGTGCATAATTACACTGTCAAACTGTAGTAAGAGTACTGTTACACTGACAGATTGTAGTAAGAGTTCTGTTACACTGTCAGATTGTAGTAAGAGTAATGTTACACTGTCAGACTGTAGTAAGAGTACTGTTACACTGTCAGACTGTAGTGAGAGTACTGTTACACTGTCAGACTGTAGTAAGAGTACTGATACACTGTCAGACTGTAGTGAGAGTACTGTTACACTGTCAGACTGTAGTGAGAGTACTGTTACTGTCAGACTGTAGTAAGAGTACTGTTACACTGTCAAACTGTAGTGAGAGTACTGTTACACTGTCAGATTGTAGTAAGAGTACTGTTACTGTCAGACTGTAGTAAGAGTACTGTTACACTGTTAGATTGTAGTAAGAGTACTGTTACTGTCAGACTGTAGTAAGAGTACTGTTACACTGTCAAACTGTAGTGAGAGTACTGTTACACTGTCAGATTGTAGTAAGGGTACTGTTACTGTCCGACTGTAGTAAGAATACTGTTACACTGTCAGACTGTAGTAACAGTACTGTTACTGTCAGACTGTAATAAGAGTACTGTTACTGTCAGACTGTAGTAAGAGTACTGATACACTGTCAGACTGTAGTGAGAGTACTGTTACACTGTCAGACTGTAGTGAGAGTACTGATACACTGTCAGACTGTAGTGAGAGTACTGTTACTGTCAGACTGTAGTAAGAGTACTGTTACACCGTCAAACTGTAGTGAGAGTACTGTTACACTGTCAGATTGTAGTAAGAGTACTGTTACTGTCAGACTGTAGTAAGAGTACTGTTACACTGTCAGATTGTAGTAAGAGTACTGTTACTGTCAGACTGTAGTAAGAGTACTGTTACACTGTCAAACTGTAGTGAGAGTACTGTTACACTGTCAGATTGTAGTAAGGGTACTGTTACTGTCCGACTGTAGTAAGAATACTGTTACACTGTCAGACTGTAGTAACAGTACTGTTACTGTCAGACTGTAATAAGAGTACTGTTACTGTCAGACTGCAGTAAGAGTACTGTTACACTGTCAGATTGTAGTAAGAGTACTGTTACTGTCAGACTGTAGTAAGAGTACGGTTACACTGACAGATTGTAGTAAGAGTACTGTTACACTGTCAGACTGTAGTAAGAGTACTGTTACTGTCAGACTGTAGTAAGAGTACTGTTACTGTCAGATTGTAGTAAGGGTACTTTTACTGTGAGACGCCACTATGATATGTGAGCATTTGTTACTAAGGCGTTAAGGGTAGACGTGTTGCTACGGTGGTTGCTAAGGCAAGCTGGAGTTTATCCCACAGATGCAGGCAGCTGATTGGTCGATCCTTATAATGCACATATCTGGACTCACTAAAACAATACGAGAACATAAACAGGATCATAAAGAGCACTACACCATAGATTTAAGTTTAAGATTTAAGTTAGAATTGTGCATCTACAGTATATCAGGGGTCTCCAACCTTTTTCGAATTTTAGTGCTACTTATTATAAAAGAGAAATGGCAGAGAGCTACTCCTTTTAGCAATCGTAGTCTATATAATATATATATATATATATATAATAGCGGAGAACACACATGCATATTATACCATTAAACCGTACAGTATCCTTGCGTTCATGAAAATATTTATAGCTATAATAGATTTGTAATGACTGAAAAGTGAATCATTCAGGATCATGTGTTAAAGTCTCGATACTTTGGGGAGCTACCTGAATGTGGGTGGTGAGCTACTGGTAGCTCCCGAGCCACAGGTTGGAGACCCCGGATCTATATTTATTTATTTATTTATTTATTTGTTTCAATTGTAGACAAAAACTAACCTTGCCTGCAAGCTGAATTCTCGCGGTATTTGTGAGTTCACAAACACTCGAGAATACATCTTGTACCGCTCCCGCTTACACTTTTCGAGTCGAACCACTGGGTGTGCGAGCCAATCACGCGCCAGTCTGGGGGTTTAGGGCGGGGATATCCGGGTTTGACGAAAGCAAGAAGTGCCGGGCCGAAGCAAAACAAACATGGCTACGCAGGAGGACGGACGCGTAGCTGAGGCTATCAAGTCAGTTTTAGCAGAATCTCCAATTTCTTTTTTGAAAGATGAACAGCGAGAGGCGCTTTGTGCATTTCTGGACGGCAACCTTGGTAGGCGGGCACACAGCGTCACTTCGCCCAATCAGCTTGAAGTATTCTGCTGCTTATCCCTCCTTTCCCCGAAAGGATTCTCCGGGAGAAATCCCAGATTGATATCGTGGAGAACGCGTTAGAGTTCTACACAATCATCAATCTGGCTCTTGCCAGGTTAGACAAAAACAATACTACACATATTACAATTAAATTTCAAATAATTGTCGTCTTGTCTCACAAATGAAAAGGAGCAGAAAGAAGAAAAAAAATCTCATGTTGCCTGCCCCTTTCTTCATACATGTACAAATTAAATTTAAAAAAAAAAAAGATGGCCTTTAGCACTTCTTCAAACTGTTTTTATTTGATGTGTTTTTGTTTTCATAATTCTTTGTTTTTTATTGTTTTTTTCTAATCATTCATTTCGTACGATTTCACTGTTGTTGCTTTGATTTTTTTCTTAAACATGTGGATGTTTGCGGATTTTTTTATTTCATAGTCAAGTTGATTCCATAGTTTTACTCCGACCACCGACATACTATATAAATCTATGGTAAGAAGCCTTTGTCGTGTGGTTGAGAGTCGGTGAGTCGGTTGCGGGTCAGGGCGGGTCAGGGCGGGTCAAGGCGGGTCAGGGCGGGTCAGGGCGGGTCAAGGCGGGTCAGGGCGGGTCAGGGCGGGTCAGGGCGGGTCAAGGCGGGTCAGGGCGGGTCAGGGCGGGTCAAGGCGGGTCAGGGCGGGTCAGGGCGGGTCAGGGCGGGTCAAGGCGGGTCAGGCGGGTCAGGGCGGGTCCGGGTCAGGGCGGCCTCACCTGCCGGTTCAGCCTGACCACGTGCACTGGACTGGGGTAGCTGTAGCAGCAGATCTCCGTGCCCTTCTTAAAGTGGTAGATGTGGAGGCGATGGGGAGTGAGCGAGCTAACCACCACCACCAGAGAGCTACCATAGAGCCGCTCCACCAGACGCACACGCTGCCCGTCTGCTGTACACACAGGCATCATAACATAACAACACACTCCATCATAACATAAGTACAACATTGTAAACAACATTGTTGTTTTTTGTTGTTGTTTACTTAGCCAATAGTCTTAAAACTGGTTAATATACCTCCACCAACAGCAAAAAGCAGTTTGTTGAAAGGCTAACAAATGCTAACCAGTGTTGCCAACTCCTCAGTAAGGAAAGTAGCTATTGGCTGTCCCAAAAGTCGCTAGAAGTCGCTAAATGACGTCATCGCCTAATTTGCATAATTGGCAATTTGCAAATAACTGTAACGGACGCTGTAGGAGAGAGGAATAACGTCGTGGGAGAGACAAAATGAGTAAAAAACACCCTAAATATGTTTAGAACTACAAATGTACAAAAACAATTTCAACATTAACAACATTTAATGATTTTAATGCTTTGTCTAGATCCACATTACACACATCAGTTTTGTCCTGTATTGTTAAATGTTATAACAGCAAATGTAATCAAAAGATTGTTATGTAGGGTGAAATTGCTAGCTCTACAACCAACCCTCCTCCTTTATCCGGGCTTGGGACCGGCAAAGTGACCCAAAAGAAACACTCTGGCAGAGTTACTTAGGTTTATTTTTTTAAGTTTTTTTTTTATTTTCATAGTTTGGCATAACAAATGATTTAATGTGACCCACTACTGAGAGAAAACAGAGTTAAGCCTAGTGTATACTTGCGCGGCGAGGCTTACGTTAGCGGTTGCGGTGGACCTACGTAAGCACAATTGATGTTATACTGGCGCGTTCCCCTTACGGAGTTTTGAGGAGAATATTGTAATCCCACAACAAACCACATGAGGGCGATCACACAGGAGCGGTCCCATTTAGGCTGCTACTTTGTCCTCTTCAGAACAACAATAACAAACAAAGCTGTTTGAGCTCATTACACGTGTTTCTACTGTAGGTTTATGTGATAGTTTTATGGATTCATTATTTTATAAGTCATTTCAACTGTGATGCTGTGAATAAAGACACAGTTCTTGTTGGAAACAGTTATTATTAAATAGTTTTCAGCACAAACAGCAAAACAATAAAAGTGGTAAATATCTGAGACAAATATGAACGATTTACGAGTGTATATATGTTAGATATAGTTATATATATGTTAGATATAAGTTATATATGTTAGATATAAGTTATATATATGTTAGATATAAGTTATATATATGTTAGATATAAGTTATATATATATGTTAGATATAAGTTATATATATGTTAGATATAAGTTATATATATTAGATATAAGTTATATATATGTTAGATATAAGTTTATATATATGTTAGATATAAGTTATATATATGTTAGATAGTCCACAGTCTCCTGTATATCAGGCTCTGAGCCCAAACTGCTTTTCCTTCGAAGCACAAAGCTCTCTGCTCCATAGTGCCTCGTCCATGCTCCTGCTGCAGCCGCTCCGTGCTTCCTTCCTTGCGGCGACCCTTACGTAGTTAGAAAATTTCGGTGCTGCGCGGCAGGCGACGTAAGGGCCTTGCGGTGACCAACGCGTTGCGCAAGTGACGTCACGTCACCTCCGTAAGCTCCGTGCGAGTATAAACTAGGCTTTACGGACAGAGCTGCCGCGGATGGAGTGGGGGGTAGTGGGGGGTGGCGGTGGTAGGAGTGGCAGGAGTGGTAGGAGTGCAGCAGCCTGAAAACTTCCTGTGCTTTTGAGACAGGGGCCCCGTCCCAATACTCGCACTTCCACCCTCGCGCCCCTCATTTGCGCGTTCCCGATAAAGTGTGCGAGTGCGTAGGGTGCATGGATCTATTATAATAACTGGATAGGGTATTACTAGCTTGTAGCTGAATAACTCATGTGCTCAGGGGATTCTCGCGGTACTGCAGACTAGACCAGACTAAATTCACGTGGGCTACCAGAAATTTTCCCCATAGAACTCAATGCATATTAAAACAGCTCAACATCAGCTGACAGAGAACCTACAGCTTTAATAAAGATTGCATTTTGTGGGGATTTTAGTGTCCCTTGTCATCCTGAACTTTTTTTATTCTTAAATCCTTCGGTTTCCTTTAAATCCACACTTTAGTGCCACAAACTCTGCTCGTCTGGCTCTCGCTCTAACTCCCGCTCTGATGAACTGCTCTGATTGGTCAGAGCGCGGCCGAGCCCGTCTGTGCACGTGCGTGAGACCCGGTGTGATCATCCACTGCGCAGAAGGGAGGACCAGACGATGCCCAAATACAGGCGAGTTTTCCATAGATCTTTGCGAGTTCCAGGCGACTTCCGCTAATCTTTTCAGCCCCCATGCCGTCACAAAGCCACTGAGCACAACCATTCATTTGAATAGGGCGCCATCTTGGATCGCCGGGGCTTGGTAGGGTGTCCCAATTCTCCAGGGAGGTCTTTGGCCCCGCCCCCTTTGCGCCCCTGATCGACACTTCGCCGTATCCTGCATCTATGCGCACTCTGGCGAAGGATATTGCCCATAATTCTTTGCGGTACACACCAAAACGTCGGGAAAATGCAAATTTTGAAATATATATGCAGTATGTGTGTAAATAAGTTTTGCTATGTTACTTGGAAAGAAGCATAAACGTCTGATGAAGAATTACGGACATTGTGTTTTAACAATTCAATAAATTTTAAAGCAAGCGTTTATATAACATTCAATTTAAACTTTACACTTAGTACAATAATCTTAGAATGTATAAAAACTGACCAGATAGTTAGTTACCCACATTTAACTTAAAATTATACAGCTATCTCTAATTAAAAACAACTAATATACATGTATTTTAACGTGTGTGAAGCAATTCAATTTGTTTCCCAAAGGGTCAGACAAAGTTACCTTTAATGTTTATAAAGTTTAGGTCTGAAAATGACCATCTCTTGACGAGTCGATGACGTAACCTGCACTCAGTGTGCACTGTCCCAATTCTGCCTTTTTTGCACACTTGTAACCTGCGCACTCCAACCCTGGTGTGCACTTCGAACAAATGCACACTGGTGTGTAGGGTGCAGTGTGGGTATTGGGACGGGGCCAGGGTCTCCTCTCTCTCTCTCTGCTCCACCCATAGACTGTAGCTGGGACTGCTGCGCAAGGCTACTGTGAGACTGGCCGCCTGTAAGTGCTTTAGGACGGGGGAGGGGCTCACGTTGAGGACAGTAACTGCAGAACAATACGTGCTTCACGCCAGAGTCTCAAACACCAGATAAGTCTCCAATAACACCAGAAAAAGTAGCTAGATTTGTCGCTAGTCGCTTTTTTGAAAAAAAGTCGCTATAGGGGTCTGAAAAGTCGCTAAATCTAGCGACAAAGTCGCTAAGTTGGCAACACTGGTACCTGCTGATGCAACACTGACATTTCTCTAGTGTGGGGAGGAATCAAAGGATCTCTCAATATTATCCAATTGAAGTGTGTAGAATATGCAGAAATGGAATAAAAGGTGAATCCCACGGACCTGTGCTGTGGTAGATGCAGTCCAGCGAGTCCACAGTGGTCAGAGAGAAGAGCCTGAAGCCCTGCTGAGCGCCCAGAGCCAGAGAGCTGCAGGAGAAGTATCATAGGTACACATTCAAACCCAGAGCCAGAGAGCTGCAGGAGAAGTATCATAGGTACACATTCCAAAACCAGTCAATATATCACACACAAAAATCTATCTGGAGTAAAGTAAGTCATCTGTATTCATGTAGCATATTTCACTGACCAAGCAGTTTACAGTTTTTGTTGTGCTGGTATTTTTGGACCTGGAACACTCTCATGACCCTCAGGCCTAATACATGTTTTTAGTGTTTGGGGAAAGTGGAGGAATGCTGCACAGACACAGGGAGAACATGCCACTCCACACAGACACAGGGAGAACATGCAACTCCACACAGACACAGGGAGAACATGCAACTCCACACAGACGGGACCTGGAGGTGCAGAACCCAGGACCCTCCTGCTCCACCACCCAGTACATCACAAAAATCTGAGCGGGTTTATGGAAATAATCAATAATAATCTCAAATAAACAAAACAAAAAAAAAATTGAGTGACTTTTCTACTTTTTTGTGCATTTTATTCAACTACACTGTACACACACTGTTTCTGCCATAATATAACTAATTTTACATATGTTAGTACCATATGATGACCCAAAGAGGACACCCAGGGACACAGGGCCTCCTGCTGCTGAGACTATTAGGAGCAAGCTGGGACTGGCCTCCTGCTGAGACTATTAGGAGCACAGGGACTGGCCTCCTGCTGAGACTATTAGGAGCACAGGGACTGGCCTCCTGCTGAGACTATTAGGAGCACAGGGAACTTGCCTCCTGCTGGGACTCTGAGGAGCACAGGGACTGGCCTCCTGCTGAGACTATTAGGAGCAACAGGGACTGGCCTCCTGCTGAGACTAGTAGGAGCACAGGGACTGGCCTGCTGGAACATTCTTGGTAAAGGATATGAATATTGAATGTCCAATAGTGCATGTATATAAAGGCACAGCACGGTCCGTCTGTAAGCATAGGTACAATAGTGCTTGTATATAAAGGCACAGCACGGTCCGTATGTAAGCATAGGTACATAGTGCATGTATATAAAGGCACAGCACGGTCCGTATGTAAGCATAGGTACATAAGTGCATTTATATTAAAGGCACAGCACGAGTCCGTATGTAAGCATAGGTACATAGTGCATGTATATAAAGGCACAGCACGGTCCGTATGTAAGCATAGGTACATAGTGGGCACATAATGAGCACAGTTTACTGCACAGAACAAGGAAACTGAGCCCCATGGGTATGAGGGACCATGCCAGGCGCACACTCACGTAGTGTACCTGGTTGAACGAGACACAGTTGTGCCTCGTATCTGCGTCCGGAGCATCTGGGGGGATTCTCCAAGACCCCGGGCTGCTGTGAGGGCTCCATCCCTGCTCCGGAGGCTGCGCCTGGACTCAGCGGCAAGGCACCACGGCTCCACTGCGGCTGGAGCTGCAGGCTCCAGGATCCAAGGCTCCAGGGCTCCAGGCTCCAGGCTCCAGGCTCGGTCCACTGTGAGTCTATCACAGAGCCATGGTCAGGGCGGACGGATCGTGTTTAGACCAGAGCCATGGTCAAGACGAACAGCGACAGAAAAACAAGAGCAGCTGACGCCTAGGCCCCGACCCGCTGCCGCTCATTGGCTCCTCGGTGATGTGACGCAGCGCCGGACTGACCTCTGATTGGACACTGGATCATAGTGCGTTGTGGAGGCGGACTGCGGTGAAGACGTCTTCGAAAACAGTCAAAAATGTGGAAACTGTGCGCCTCAGGGAGGGAACTTACGCATCAGTCACATCAGAGACGCCTGCTGTTTCAGAGTGTGCTGATGAAGCATGTGGCACCTTTGATTCAATGTGTCTGTGTCTCGCTCTAAATCACAACAGCAGTCGTCTCGGAGGATAACAAAGTTGTTCATAGTACTAGACATCAGATCAAAGAATCAAGCTGTCCGAACACTGGAAATACAGTAAGAACCAATGGTGTAGGTTTGGTTCCAATCTTGGTGGGGACATTCACTACGACCTGAGTCTACACCCATTGACACGGGGTCCAGAGTTTCTCCCCCAGAATTTGTTGTGTAATCACACACTATATTTGCAATAGTGTGTTGCCTTCTATACTAAACTCAGCTGTAGACTGAATGAGAAGTAGTTAAGGATTTTTTCTAATCGTTAAAACAAAATCAATTGGATCAGAACTTCTGAGTTTTGTGTTGCGTTCATTTCTAACTTTGTCCACAAGATGGCTTAAATGTTTATAGTAAATAAGATAGTAAATATATCCTGTATTCAGGATCAGGCTGATATGGTTTACAACCTATCTCAAATATGCTGTCCCTGGCACTACTTTTCTTGAGAGTGACTCTCATTGGCTGCCTCCTAAATATCAAATACACTGTTATGAAACTTTTAAAAAATCCCATATTTTATCTTCATAATTCCAGCCTCACCTGAAGCCCAGCTTCGATATCTGCCTGCACTACATCTTCCCTGAATACCCTGAGTTCCCTATAATAAATAAAACACATGTAGTGCATAAACAAATCAGATCAAAGCATATACAAAATAAAACCACCAACAAAACCAAATAAATACTTTCAACCTCACCTGAAGCCCTGAAGGTCCAGCCACTTCCTCATCCTCTACCAGTACTGCACATTCCCTGTTTGTCTGACTTTCCTTTATGGTATTAATAAAAACACACATTCTACATTGAATAAAATGAAACCTAGGCATGGTACACCAGTCGCTAAATATCTCATGAAACTAGAATTGGTTTGGTTGATGGGTCTAAGATTATAACTGCTTAATCCTAACCGTCACCTGGAGTCCTGTCTTGTCCTTGTCTTTATCTCCTTCTTGAATTTCCATTATATCTCTCAGAGTGTCCTATATTTAGTAAAAGATTTCAGACAACACTTTTTGCATCATTATAGTAGTAAAATATGTTGTAATTGGCATAGGTAATTTCCAACCAAATGATGTTCTTTAACTTTAGTATGATTCTATACTGACTTAAACCTAATCCAAATCTACATAATAGCCCTCACCTGAGGCTCTAACAGTTCAGGAACTGCTCTCGATACTTGAAAATAAATCATGCTCTGATCTTTCAATTTCCTATAATAAATAAAAACAGAGGAGAAAATATTGAATTAGAATCTACAGTGAGTAGCTCACTACATTGTTTGACATATACGATCAATCTCTAAAAACAATTCATAGTCCCATGCATACCTACAAAATTCCAACCTCACATGATGCACTGAAGGGCCTGTTGCTTCTACCTCAACATTCCCTATATTGTTCTCTCTTGGTGGTTGAGTTTCCTATGTATGTTAACAGAAGATTAATCATCACAATTCATAATTTGCTATTACTTGTGCTTTCTCTTTACTTACTTTCCAACTGTTAAAAAAAGCTCCTGATATCTTTTATCTTTTTTTGTGGAGGTGGCATTTTTTCTAAATTATATAAGAAGGTATAGACAATCAAAAACAGACATTCATATACATGAACTGCAGAATCATTTATATAACTTGGCCAATGTCAAAAGTTATAGTATTTCTCAATACAATGAGTTAACAAGAGTTTGGCAATAAGTAACAGTGTGGATTTTTCTATATTTTCTTTTTTTTATTCCACTCTCTACCCAAAAAGGCAAGTAATGACTCACAGGGTTCTCAAGTATTCAAAATAAAAACTTAAATGACCTGTTGTGGTGTGTTTTGCGCACAACCAGCATGCATCGTTAACGCAATGGAAAATTTAGGTATCCGAGCTTTAATTTCGGGAGCGCTGGTTGCTGCTTTGGGAAGAGTCAGGGGAGAGACATGTCAGAGACACAGGGGAGAAACGGGGGAGATACGAGGGGAGACCCGCACTTGCAACATGGTTCTGTCTGCATATGGTCCGAGCTCGGTACCATGTTAGAGCTGTGCTTTCACTGAGCGCCGCGGCTGTCATTACAAAGCGGCAGCAGCTGCACCAGGACGTGCTGTCACACATTTCACAGAAATTACATTATCAGCAGATAAAGGTGTAAATCGTGGATCCGTGGAATATTTTCATCCCTAGTTTATCCTGATTCACACAACACACCCACTTATACATTTTGGATAGTAAGAGCACAATAAGTATTTTTTCAGCCTTTCAACCAACCTGTTTCTTTATTGGAGCCAGTTCTGTTCTGTCTCTGTGCCGTGTGAGCTCCTCGGAACATTAAACAGTGCGCTGACAGATTAGAAATAACGTAAGGTACTTTGAATGGTAATAGATCTACAGTACTTTCCTCTGATTACTCCCACGTGCTACAACGCTCAGGGAACGAAAAAAAACACTTGCTTCACGCTGGCTAACTTAAAAAAATATAAACAGTCGCTCAGTGCTTCAGTTTGGCGCTGAAGAAGACAGCCAATCACTGCAGAGAACGGAACGGGTCACGTGCTGCTGCTGCTGCTGTTGCTCCTGGAGGCGAGGGAGGAGGCGCGACGTTGCACAAACGGAAGACATGTGTCCCGGACCGTCCGGGTCACGGGACATCATGTCATTTTGGTGGGGACTTTTTAGTCCTCACCAAATATTGGTGGGGACATGTCCCCCATGGTCCCCACGCAAACCTACGCCCTTGGTAAGAACACAGAGGAGCCATTGGTCCATAGGAAGCGGGATTGTCCTTAAAATATCACTGTCCTTAGACCCTCCTGCTTCAGGAAGAAACCACTCAAAAAGTGGGAAACCTCAGTGAGTGCACGGACTGAGGCTGTAGATCCAGGACTGAGGCTGTAGACCCAGGACTGAGGCTGTAGATCCAGGACTGAGGCTGTAGATCCAGGACTGTGGCTGTAGATCCCAGGACTGAGGCTGTAGACCCAGGACTGAGGCTGTAGATCCAGGGACTGAGGCTGTAGATCCAGTGGCTGAGGCTGTAGATCCAGGACTGAGGCTGTAGATCCAGGACTGAGGCTGTAGATCCAGACTGAGGCTGTAGATTCCAAGGACTGAGGCTGTAGATCCAGGACTGAGGCTGTAGATCCAGGACTCAGGCTGTAGATCCAGGACTCATGCTGTAGACCCAGGACTCAGGCTGTAGATCCAGGACTCAGGCTGTAGATCCAGGACTGAGGCTGTAGATCCAGGACTCAGCGTGTGCGGCGCACCTGGCTGCTTTAAAGGTAAGACAAACTTTGATTTGCAGTATGAATAAGGAGCATCTTCAAAAAACTTTCATGAAATGACTGAATTTTGGGAATAATATACAATACACATCTTCAAAAACTCCGCACAGTTCATGAGCTTTCAATTTTGCCTTTGACTAAAGAATTTTGGGAATCCATCCAATATACAATTTCTTCCCCTTAATATTTCTTGCACATATAAATAGTAAGTAACTCACACAATGGACGTTGAAACCAAAATTCCCTTCTGTTTCCTTCAGCATGGTCCAGACCCTAAATTATGTTCAGAATAAGAATATCCAGTTAACTATTATGTGAAACAAGTCATTTATATAGATACCTTCATATTATAAAAGTATTAAAGAAATGAAACCACACTTCTTCGCTTTAGGCCCCTGAACGGCCCTTTAATTTTTTTTTATCGGCCCTCAAACCAAAATAAAGTTGAACCCCTGGTGTATTGGAGTAAAAGAATAATGTAAATGTAAGAAGCATCTTTTGAGTGTCGAAAAAAACGCTTATATAAAAATCAAAAAGCTTTTATATTTTAAGGACTTTGATAATGAAAGAACATGATGGAAGCATGTCATCATAAATAAGGCTGAACACACAGTATCACACTGTGTGTTGCTAAATATAACCCAATAGGGAAGTTTAGAAAGGTTTTTGCTCCACTTGCTCTGGCTCGCTGGTTGTCGATGCATTGAAAGTAACTGGTAATCCGGGAGATAATCACTTCAAAATTGGGACTCTTCTGCAGTTGTATTGGTCCTAATAAAAACTACAATTTGAAACAAATCTACTTTACTGGGACTAAAAGAGATCACTGTTCAGGGCCATCAGTGACATGGAAGCATTGGCAAAATTATGCTTATTTGTTGGTAGATGTGAAAGCAGCCGAACACATGTAACACTGAATCCACAGTGCATCAATACAGGGCACATGTGATGTCATGAGTGACTTTGTGCGCAAAACTCCTGAAGTGAAGTCCAGTTAAGGAGCAATATTTATGATGTGCTAAATTATATTGAACCTTTATTAAACCAATGATGCATCGGCCACTTTAATCAAGAATGTCAATTTATTTTTCTTGATTTTGTTTGTTGGTGGTCACTCTCCATGCACCAGTTGCTTGCTTCTCAGGGATTCCTGCACGTGAGTATAAAACCTCTATATATAATGATGTCTTCTCAGTGATTTTCTTTTTATGAATGAATGTCTCGGAGGAGATCACACAAGCACGGGAACATAAGCATCGGCTTAGATGTAAATCACCAGTCTTCGTCACTCAAATCAAATGTGTAAAGGTAAAAACTTCCAAACTTAAAACTTAACTTTAATGTTGTTACGTTAGTTAGTAATCTTATTCGGGACGTTTAGGCAACATTTCTGGAATGTTGAATATAAATGATTCACAGAATTCCACCACCATAACTTTTTCTTACATGATATTCGTGGCTAATTCGAAAATGTACCAAATTTGTATTTTTTTCTTGCTAAATCTACCAATACTGATAATAAGTGAAAAAGAAAATTTTAAACACATCCACATTTAAAAGAAACAATGAATATATACATACACAATGAAATTCATATGAAACGAATAACGAGTATGGATACCATAAGATAACATTTAGAGCCATGTAAGATAAGGATTGTGGAGAAACAGTAAGAAAACAAATACAATTTGATTTTCAGCTACGTTAAAGGAGCTACTACCCGTTTCTGCAAGGTGTTTTTGAATGTTTAACACCCAACCCCAACTCGCTCACAGGCTTTTCATTTTGAAGAAAACCCTCCTACTTACAGCCTTCGATCCCCTCCGCTCTCTCCCACAGAGTCATCTATTTTTGAGTAGCGATCTGATACAGTGCAAACTTTAGCAATTAGCAAGCTGTACAAAAAATCACTGATGAGAATGGTACAAAAGGAAAAAAACTCACTGCCAGAACAAAAATATATTTAGTAATATAACTGAAAAACTAATGCCAGTTTTGGAGTCAAAATATTGAGGCGTAAACGCACATACAGGTCTGTCAGCGCGATGATGTAAGCTAGCTATGTTCACCAGGGCCTTGATTTCTTCTTTGACAGCAGGTATCGTCAGTCGTCTCAGTACCTATGCGTATCTAAAGTGGTGGGGTTTTCCACGGCCGTATCTAGTTGTTCACTAGAGCAGCGTTGTATGAATCATGGGGTCGGCCCGATGTTCCCGGGTCGGTGTTCCCCGCGGTTCCGGTGTTCCCCGGGTATCGGTGTTCCCCGGGTCCGGTGTTCCCGTGGTCCGGTTGTTCCCAAGGCGTTCCGGTGTTCCCCCCAGGGTCCGGAGTTCCACGGGGTACATCGGACCTTCCAAACGCGCGAGGGGGGGGGGGGCCCCCCCGGTGTTCCACGATCGCTGCAGGGCCTCGCTCATAGACTTGTTATTGCCTGCGGCGCGGATAATGGAACAGCAACAAGCGGTTTTTTCGTCATAACTAGTCTATTTTGGGTAGGCCTTGCAGATTAGTAAGTAGGCCAAATTCGCTTGCAAAACAACAAGGAGAAAGAGTAAACTGGAAATGGGGTTTCAAAGAATATGGTTCAAACGCATACACCGCAAGCACACGACTCACGCGCGCACATACACACAAGACTCAGTTATGAAACTTGCGTTGAAAAAGGTGTTACATTTTGGGGTGTATATTCCATTTACGCCAATTTGCCAAAATGTTTTGTACATTAGAAAATCTTATTGAATTGTAGAAGTGGAATAATATAGATTGATTGGAATGAATGAATTAATTCATATTATTATGACAGCGGTGGCTTCTCTGGAATGAAGCGTCTGCAGCGTCTTGGACGCAGGCTGGCTCGCGGGTTAGAGGTTAGAAGTGCGCATTGAGGCGCTGTTACAATTAAGAGAGCGTGTTGCTGGTTGTGTGAGGCTTACACAAATATAATGAAATAAACATTGGCTTTACCAGATGTGAATGAGGAACAATAGCCGGTGCGTATTATCCGCAGCGCAGAGCCTGCCAAACAATTGATGGGTCCAACTCGATCCTGCTTGGTCTTAAAGTGTATTTAGTATAGAGCCTTTCACTGTCCAGGATCACAAAGCGCTTAACTTTTTTAAAAGAACATACAGATCAAAATAATACCAAACACAAGTCAGATTTAATAGAGGGTCCTCTGAGCTGTGATTTTATTCGAAGTTTGCGTTGTTCCATTAGAATTTTACGCATTGTACTGCGCAAATTCACAATTTTGAAACATGATCCTATTGAAAACACAGCATATAATTTTGCCCAGAGGGAATAAGCTTTTATGTTTGTACATATCTTGAATTTCATGCGTGTTGTGCCGTAGGTTGTGTTCCGCAGCGTATAGATATACACCACACTCCAGACCTGGCGTTTATTTTTGGTATTGGTCACGACTTCACGTCCAGATAGATAAATGCTGAAAAGCTGTTATTAATTGCGTAGCGTTCTCTGTTACCTGATTGGCCTGCCACGCAGGTTTAATACATGAGGCCCACAGTGGAGGAACCAAAGTGAGGCCCACAGTGAGGGGCTCCTCCCAGGCGGGGTGTGTCTAACACAGGCCTAGAGTTTACCTTCATCAGAGCAAGGCGAGCAGGCCTGTCCGCCGCTCTTTCCTCCTATGGGACCTATGGGACGGGCCTCTGGCTCTCTACCTCACAAAGTCACGCTGAACTTTTCTTAAAAATTTAAAATGAAAAAAGGCCTGCTATGTTGTGAATGCTTTGAGGCGTTGTCAATCACTTTAAGCGTGGAATAGCTGGTTGTTCCTAGCTTCACGCTGTGTGATATGTTATTGGACAATAATTGTTCAGCCAATAAACAGACTCTATTTGAGAGCAAAGTAGGAAACGTGATGACGCTCACGGGGTAATATTATTATTATCATTATTTGTTAGTTTATTCCCCACTGTAGGAAGCCAATCGCTACATTTTAATATTTTTGAATTCTGAGCTGTTTCCAATTGTATTAAAATGGGAAACCTAACTTAAACAACTCATGTATTGGCTTCGGGATTCTTATTTTACACTGATTCCTTTTCGATAATTTTTTTCTTAAACGTTAAGTTGTACAAAAATGCTATGTTTGAATTGGTTATTTTACATTTATGTGAGTGACAAGTCTAAGGAGGGAGCATCAATGCACAATGTCGCACGCATTCTGAATAGAATAATAGTGTATCTTAATATTGCCCGCGCTAGTTAATATCTCTAAAAACTAAAAGAGCATATTCAAGTTTTAACAACAAAAACGACGTCATATGCGGTCCATTATGCGTATTAAACAGCAACAGTGCCCTCAGCAAACCACGTATTGTAAAAAACTATAGGCTAACAGATGTATGTGAGCTCTAGTTTCAATCGTAGCGATGAGCTCATTTTCATTCAGTACGATTGTCAAATTATAGAAAGGCGCACTGGGAGAGCAAAAGGGGAGGATAAAATGCCCTATACTTGCACCAAAAATATCCTGCATAGAATCAAGCTCCACGAATCAGCTGAATATGAGCAAACAAAGAGCGAGAGGGAAAAGAAAAGTACAATAGGCTTAGGGCTAGGATAGTATTTTTTCTCTCACAAAACGTTGGCCGCGCTGATACATAAACATTTTTTTTTCATATGGCCCATCTTTCGTGGGAGGAGGAAACTAAGTATAAGTGATGGCTATTGGAATATATCAATATTTTAAAGACGTATATTAACACCCAAAAATCGCTTACTGCTGCTTTAATAATAAAAACTTTAGCATAATGAAGAAGCCAGAATTAAATAAAACATCTCTTGTGTGTCCTTAATGCACTAATGTTATGAATTTATGTTATTTATTTTTACCTTTTAATTTTTTTTGCACCGAGAGCCAAAGCAATTTCCTAGTTTGTGTTGGAAATAAAAATAATTCTGATTCTGATAACAATAATAATAATAATAATGATAATGATAACAATAATAATAACAACAACAATAATAATAATAATAATAATAACAATAATAATAATAATGATAATGATAATGATAAAAATAATAATAATAATAATAATAATAATTATGATAATAATAATAACAATAATAATAGCAACAACAATAATAATAATAACAATAATCATTAATAATAATAATAATAATAATAATAATAATCTCTTCCCACTTTATTTTCCCACTGCCCTCTCCCCTTTTTGAACCAAACTCTCTGGTTTTATTTGACGAGCGTATATCACCACAATGATGGACAATTAGGAGGACCAATAGTCCGGATGATCCACCCAGAAGAGGAACATCCTCCTAAATAAATCTTAAACTCGACAAAAACTAGTATTTTTCATTTTGTCATTGAACTTCCTCAAATGTACCGTTTTCTGTGTGAATAAAGTGCTTTGTTGTCAGTGTGTAACACCCAGCTCTCACACACACACACACACACACAAACACACACACACGCACACGCACACGCACAGAGGGGGCGTGGCTGAGCTCACTCTGAAAAATGAAAGTAGGTTGTTTCCCAATTCTTACTTTTCTGTTTCCCGTCTTCTGAATAAATATGTCTGTCCCTGGTCTCACACGTTCAAAGCCCTTCACCTCCAATGCTCCTCACGTTCTTCATGTCTACAATGGTCATGGCGCGGTTCACCTGCTGCGTGTGCGTGTGCGTCCTGCTGCTGGCCGCCGGCGGGGCCCAGGCGCTGCGCTGTGATTGGCTGGATCACTACAGTGACCGCACCGCTGTTTGTCTGCAGGAGCTCAGCAGGATGAGGATGGTAAATGTTTTATTCATTTTCATTTTTTAGCTATTTAAAATGATTCACGTTTAACTCTAGAACTCCTAGAGCAGTCAATTTGACTGCTTTTAGTGCCGATTTCTCAGCGTATGTACATTTTTGGTCTTCATTACTGATTTATCTCTATATTATTATCTTTATGAAATTGTCTTTTATTTTTGAAGTCCTTCCAGAGCAGTGATTTTGACTGCTCCATTAATTTCAATGTAAAATTAGTATAACAATTTTTATTGTTTTTTTCCCTCTCTCGCCTTTTTCAAGTTGCTGAACTGGTCTAGGACTGGTCTAGGACAGGTCTGTTCTTGGACTGATCTCGAACTGGTCTAGGACTGGTCTTGGACTGGTTCTGCGCTGGCCTGTTTTGAGACCTTATGAATTATTCACTTTTAATAACATAAACGCACACACAGACACACTCATAGACACACTGACACACAAACCTACACGCACTCAGACACACACGCACTCACAGACACACACGCACACACAGACACACACACGCACACAGACACACACACACACACACACACACAGACACACTCGTAGACACACTGACACACAAACCTACACGCACTCACAGACAGACACACGCACACCTACGCGCACACATGCTGACACTATGTGGTGGATCATAAACTGAGAGGCCAGGCTTCACTGTTAGAGCCCGCTCTGCTCAGGACTCAAAAGCTAAGCAGTGCAGGAGCTGGTGTGCTGCGATGGGAGACTGAGGGGTCGGGTGGCACAGAGTGGCAGTCTCTCTTCCCTTTTTCAGCCCTAGGGCTTGTTTGCTGCGCAAGATTTAGAAAATAAAATGATAATTGTGGTGGAATCTGTTCAATCATGTAATGACTGAGAAGTTGAAATGTGACTTTAAAAAGAATGGCTCATTTTTGTCACTGATTTATTCATCTATATGTTTACGGTACACTCTCTGGATGAGTCATTCGGATGTAATATGTTGTTGTCCCATAAACTTTTCATTTTAACACAAATGTTTGTGTTTGTATTTGAACAGGCAGCGGGTGACTTGAGCACTGACCTCCCATTTCCAAACGGACTCTACAACCGCAGCAGCCGCAAACACGTAAGACTCACCATCACTGTCCGGGGACATGTTACGCTGTGGTAGACTTGGGGCAGGCTCTCGGCCTCTTTCACACGATGACACCTGGATGAGATTCAGATCCAGAATCATTTTATTTGCAGTAAATCCACATTGGAATACATGTGCAAAAGTCCCCAAAGTGCTTTGTTCAAACTAAGAGCTGGTACAATGAAGCTGTTAGCATGTTAGAATTCCAGATGTCCTGCATCTCAGCCAGCGATATCTTCTGCCAGAGGGAAGAAGCTGGAACATGGCTTTTCCACGGGCCAGAAAATGCAGTCATTATTTTAAGAGCTTGGTTTAAGAGTCTGGATTCATAAAGAACCTCCAGAACAGGCAGCTCACAGCTCACAGTCTTCTTTCCAAACGTCTCCACTGAAAACTATTTCTAGAACCTTTTAGACCTTGGTCTGGTCCTGGGTGAGGGCTGGCACTGCCTCATATTCCTGAATATGTAGCTAAATGTATGTATTGTATGTGTGCAGGTGGGATCTCAGCTGCTGTTTGTCCAGCACAGCCTTCAGCACCTGCTCTGGCTCTTCAGAAACCTGTCCCATGTGGGCCGAGACACAAACCTGTCCCATGTGGGCCGAGACGCGGGCCTGTCCCGTGTGGGCCGAGACGCGGGCCTGTCCCGTGTGGGCCGGGACACTGAGCGCTTCCTGTCCGCTCTGCACAGCCAGATAAGCCGAATGCAGCCCTGTGTAAGTCCACTTTCTTGCCAGGTATTTTCTTCATCTATTGTGGTAGTTTTTCAAGTCTCAAAGATGAAGCTGGTGTCATATCAACATCTGCTGCTGTTACTTCTGAACACACTAAACTAAACACATCTAGTGGTGGGAATTATTAGTATTGCAATATTTGGACCATCGCAATACTGAACAGAATCAATTTGTAATTTTTCAATTATTATTCAATTATTAATATTATGATCATTGATTATTCAATTTTTAATAATCCACCTCCTTCTTGACAACCACGCTAAATAATCAGTGTCCTTGTGTGTTGTTTTGCGCTCTTGTTCCTGTCCGGTTGAGAAGAGTGGGAGTAAGAGAATATTTGTGTGTTTCAGGTCTCCACCAATCACAACCAGAGCTTCGTGGAACAGGTGCTTTCTGCTCAGCTCAGCAGGTACTACGGACAGCTCCTCAACAGCACGCTCAACACCCCCGTAAGTCAACTCTGAACAACCCACCTCCTCCACATCCCAGAGAGGACCAGAAAACCCTTTCCCATCCGTCTAAACTAGGATGGGGCATTCAAATAGTTACCGTTTTTGGAACCTCACATAGATAGACTTAAAAATGCTGAGAAGAGGTTTTATGTTTTCAGAGTAAAAGTCTGTCTCACATTTTTTTTATTGCGTAAAGAATTGCTGCCTCCCCATGTTTAGTCAGAGTCCCAGCAGGAGGCCAGTCCCTGTGCTCCTCAGAGTCCCAGCAGGAGTCCAGTCCCTGTGCTCCTCAGAGCCCTCCTTGGTTCATGTGGCACTAACATGTCACACATGTGGTTTGGTGCGAGTCTTGAAACAAAAAGAGCTGTTTTAAAGTCTATTCTCTGAGCCACAAGAAGCCAGTACAGAGACCTGAGACCAGGACTAAAGTGATGGTACTTCCTGTCCTAGCTCTGCGATATAAACAACTCACTGATTGATAAAAATAATCCTTTCAGATTTTGTCTCTTCCAGCCTGTGCAAACAAATAATTGCCTCCAAATTATTTCGATAAGTATTTAGATTTCTTCCGGCAAATGGCGTTTGACTGCACTAACTATGCCAAATGTGACATTGTTAGATCAATAAAGTTGATTTTATCTTAGATGGTGCTGCGTTAGATTTAGATCTGAATAAAGCAGAACCTTTTCATTGATCGAAGTCTTTCTTCTACACAGAATGAAAGCTCCTCATCGCGGCAAAGCCTGAAGGAGCTGACCCGGCTTCACCTGCACCGTCTGGACATGCAGGTGGAGTCCATCCGAAAGCAAAGACACGGGCCCCGAGGAGACACGGGCCCCGAGGAGACACAGACCCCGAGGAGACACAGGCCCAGAGGAGACAGGAGGAGACGCCGCATTTCGTCACCAGAGGGCGCTACAGACACTATCTCCTGCCCTAGCCATAGATTTTAAATGAAATGATGTATTTATTTATTAGATTATTTATACATTGGATTATTTATTTATTATGTATTTATTATTTATTTTTTTTTATACTTTTTTAATGTATTGAATTATTGGATTCATGTGAGGATTCGTTCTCGTGTAAACTTGCTTTGATAAAGGAAGATGTGTTCATTTGGTCTTGTTCTGTCTGAGCGTCATCGTCGTCCTGCGTGATCCCGGCTCCAGAGGATCAGGCCCTGACACTATAATATACATTCATCAGCTTTGATAAAATGAGAGAAACAATAATATAATACTGCAATAATGCTAAAAAATCCTTAAAGTAGCTGCTATCCAGATTATATAACTACAATATGTGTTTATAATATTTCGGTGTTCATTTTGACATGTTAAGATGAATTATGTTTAAAAAAACGTCTTTGAAGTTGCACTTTTTCTCAAACGCTAGGGGGCGCCAAAATTGCAGCGATGACGTCAAATGTCAAAATGAACACCCGAAATATCATAAACACATATTTTAGTTATATATTCTGGATAGCAGCACGGTGAATTCTAGTACTACTTTAAAACTAAAGCCAATTTTAAAATAGTCCATTTCAATGTCCTGCAGAGCTCTAGAGACATTCATAATGAACACAGCATAATGCACAGCTGAGAACATTTTAGAGTTGTCGATTCCTCAACAACGAATCAGAGAATCAAACCGTTTGAACACAAGAAAAAAACAATTCCAACAAAAAATATAGGAGCCATTGGTCCATGGGGAATGGGACGACCACTGTCCAGAGACCACTGTCCAGAAATGTGCATAAATGACTCTCCTCCATCGGCAAAGAACCACTGAAAACAAGAAAAACAGTGGAACAAAGTGAGAAACCCCTGGAGGCCCAAATTGAAAGAGGGATTTTTACAACTAATCATTGTAGGAGTTAGAATGTGTAAGGCTTAAACCACAAAATCCAACTTACCTCCAAAAAAAGGTTTTACAATCTCCTACCACAAGACAAATGCATGCGGCGGTTAGCACTTGTGCTTCACTGCAAGAAGGTCCTGGGTTTGATTCCAACTCCAGGCAGGGACCTACTGTGTGGAGTTTGCATGTTCTCCCCGTGTCCACTGATAACATTCATTGGTCCGGTACAATGGGGCAAAAAAGTATTTAGTCTGCCACCAATTGTGCAAGTTCTCCCACTTAAAAAGATGAGGGAGGCCTGTAATTCTCATCATAGGTAAACCTCAACTATGAGAACATTTGTTTGCAAACTATGGTTGAAAACAAGTATTTGGTCACCTACAAACTCTCACAGACCTGTAACTCCTTCTTTAAGAGGCTCCTCTGTCCTCCACTCGTTACCTGTATTAATGTCTCCTGTTGGAACTTGTTATCAGTCTGAAAGACAGCTGTCCACAGCCTCAGTCACACTCTAAACTCCACTATGGCCAAGACCAAAGAGCTGTCAAAGGACACCAGAAACACAACTGTAGACCTTCACCAGGCTGGGAAGACTGAATCTGCAATAGGTAAGCAGCTTGGTGTGAAGAAATCAACTGTCGGGGCAATTATTAGAAAATGGCAGACATACAAGACACTCCCTCAATCTGGGGCTCCACGCAATATCAGTGAGCAAATATCCCAGAACCACACAGGGGGACCTGGTGAATGACCAGCAGAGAGCTGGGACCAAAGTAACAAAGGTTACCATCAGTAACACACTACGACGACAGGGAATCAAATCCTGCAGTGCTAGACGTGTCCCCCTGCTGAAGCCAGTGCATGTCCAGGCCCGTCTGAAGTTTGCCAGAGAGCACATGGATGATACAGCAGAGGATTGGGAGAATGTCATGTGGTGTGAGGAAACCTTTTGGAAAAACTCATCTTGTTGTGTTTGGAGGAGAAAGAAAGCCGAGTTGTATCCAAATAACACGATACCTACTGTGAAGCATGGGGGTGGAAACATCATGCTATAGGGCTGTTTTTCTGTGAAGGGACCAGGACGATTGATCTGTGTAAAAGAAAGAATGAATGGGGCCATGTATCTTGAGATTTTGAATGAAAACCTCCTTCCACCAGAAAGGGCATTGAGGATGAAACGTGGCTGGGAGACTGGTTTCGTACAAAGCCTTTCAAAGTCCTGGAGTGGTCTAGCCAGTCTCCAGACCTTAACCCCATAAAAAATTGTTGAAGGGAGTTGAAAGTACGTGTTGCTCAGCGACAGCCCCAAAACATTTCTGCTCTAGAGGAAATCTGCATGGAGGAATGGGCCAAAATACCATCAACAGTGTGTGAAAACTGTGAAAACTTACAGAAACTTACAGAAACCGTTTGAGCTCTGTCATTGTCAACAAAGAGTGTATAACAAAGTATTGAGAATCACTTTGTTATTGACCAAATACTTATTTTCAACTGTTATTTGCAAATCCATTTTAAAAAAATGTGATTTTCTGGATTATCTTTTTCATTCTTTCTCTCATAGTGGAGGTTTTCCTATGATGACTATTACAGGCCTCCCTCATTTGTTTGAGTGAGAGAACACAATTGGTGGCTGATTAAATACTTTCTGCCCCACTTTTACCAAACCTTTTATTATGGAGAGGTATTATTCTTCTTATTCACTTTTACTTTCACTTTCTTCCAGTGTATGTGAACTTCCTCTGTCCATGTGCTTTTGAAATGTAATTTTCTAAGTTCTGTGTTATTTGGTCAAGTATTGAAAATCCCTCTTCAGAGATAAAACAGAAACAGCTCAGGCCACGTGTTTGTGTAAAAATACTTTATTGGAAAAAGAAGTACAGACATATACAAACAACACAGTGCATACAAATCTGACCACAAAAAGAGACAGAAATCACACACACACACACACATACTCAGAGATAAACACAGACAGAGACATAAACACACACGTACACACACACACACAGACACACACACACACACGGTAAAGGCAACACTAGTATGGCACACAGCTTTGGTCCAACAACACTTGGCCACAGACACTGAGCCCAGTCCACTTCACTGTAAACACAGATACATCCATGACTCCTGCTCATGGTTCTACTACAGCTCTGTCTCGTTAGCGTTAGCCCCAACAGTACTTTAAGATGCGGCTGTTAATGACTTTGTCGGGACTCGGGACTGAGGACGCACCGATTCCAATTCCGCCGTCAAAAGGCCAATCCAGGACTATTTAGCCCTAATATTTACAGTCTATGATTTAGCCCTGCTTCTACTCTACTCTACTCTACTCTACTCTACTCTACTTCTACTCTACTCTACTCTACTCTACTCTACTCTACCCTACCCTACCCTACTCTACTCTACTCTACCCTACTCTACTCTACTCTACTCTACTCTACTCTACTCTACTCTACTCTACTCTACTCTACTTCTACTCTACTTCTACTCTACTTCTACTCTACTTCTACTCTACTTCTACTCTACTTCTACTCTACTCTACTCTACTTCTACTCTACTTCTACTCTTCTACTCTACTCTACTCTACTCTACTCTACTCTACTCTACTCTACCCTACCCTACCCTACCTACCTACCCTCCCTACCCTACCCTACCTACTCTACTCTACTCTACTCTACTCTACTCTACTCTACTCTACTCTACTCTACTCTACTCTACTCTACTCTACTCTACTCCTACTCTACTCTACCTCTACCCTACCTCTACTCTACCTCTACTCTACTCTACTCTACTCTACTCTACTCTACTCTACTCTACTCTACTCTACTCTACTCTACTCTACTCTACTCTACTCTACTCTAATCTTCTGTGTTATCGGAATTAGAGTATTCACTGCTGATACAGATCCTCAGCCGGTCTCCACTTTTACTCAGACAAAGAGCAGGCTAACGGACATTTAGAAAGAACAGTCAGAACCACATTCTATAAAGAGTTTGCTGTGATCTGACAGAAATAACGATCCCGGTCCTTTTAATGGAATTGGCCGAAGGCTCGGTGCATCCCTGACTAGGACCAGGTCTGGGAAAATAAAATATCAGATCAAATATAGAGTTGTACAATGACCATCTCCACAAAAACGGAGGGAAAAATGTAAAAGAAGTGTATGTAAGATTTTGATCTTTACATGATCTCTGTCCTCAAATATACAACTGGTAAATTCTGAAAAATAAATACAAATAAAACATGGTGTTAACACAGTTTAAAATGATCTATTGTCACTTTTCATCACCCATAAGATGATAATTGATGTACTGTTCCTCAGAGGGTCTCTAACTTAAAGCTTGTTATACAATATATTCTCAATACTTCCTTTTCTATTAGATATTGGTCAAAAATCAATGAACACTTCCCCTTGGCCGAGATAATCCACCCCCTGTACACACATTCATTATCAATGTAAAAGTGCCATCGAGTTTATATACAATTATCTTTGTCTAACCCATAGAGTGTGTGTGCGTGTGGTATGTGTGTGTGTGTGTGTGTGAGTGTGTGTGTGTCACTGGGAGAAGGTGGTGACCCAGTGCTTCTTCTTCTGTGATTCTTTCCGTGCCTGAGGACTGTGTTGGATCAGGAAACCGTCAGAGTCAGTGCAGCTGAGGCGGGCCGCCCTGCTGCTCACCGTGCCCTGGTGCAGAGTGGGAGGCCTCGGCCCCCGGCGGACGAAGAAGCCGCACTGAAGAGAAGAGGCAAGTTTATTTGAATCGCACAGTTCATACACAAGGCAGCTCAAAGTGCAAAGCTAAACAAGAAAAGAAACACTCAAATCACAAAAGGCATTCAAATCATAAATAATCATTGTTGGGATGAATTGTTCTGTTCTGGCTGGGGCCCCGGACTGACCGAAGTGTGGCCTGGGGGTGACATCACGGCTGGTATATATGGGGTTGCCGCTCACTGTGAGGCTCTCCGTCATCACAGCTCGTCATGAGTCAAAACTGACTGTGATTTTTCAGCAATATTGAATATAAATAAAACATTTGAAGGACCACATGAACAGCGATGTGTGTGTGGACCGTGGAGAAAATACAAA